TACTTGAACATTTTAATTCCTGTGTTCACATCATTTTAATAAATAATAATCTGTTTTCTTCATACATTGGTCCTGATGAAATTGTTTACTTTGCTCCACTCAGAAATACATGCCTTGGAAGAAGAGTGGAGAAGAAACAAACTTCACATATGTTGAGTGTTTGCTGTACACGTTTCATCATCTAGCTCATAAGGTGATTATACTGCCCTGACTGGACATTGAAGAGAGAACAGACTTTTGTTGAGCAAGTCTATTCTATGTAGTGCTTTAACTGAACTCTATGTATGCAGGTTCCTAATGCCACTAATAGTTTATGTGGTTACAAGATTGTTACTGGTCAACCTTCTGATAGGCTTGGGGAGGACTTTTCAGAAAATTATAAGGATTTTACTGAGAGGTATTGCCTTTGTTTGAGAAGTTGTACATAAATGACTTGCTATTTTTCAGTTGTGTATCTTTAAAATAACTTGTTAAAATAAGTTGTTTCTTTTTGGTCCTGCTTTTTTCTTCATCATTTTCCCTTGTTTTCTGGTCATCTTTGCTTGAGCTGTGTTTCTTGAATAACAAATTTGTTTAGTTTGACTTGTTTATATCTGTATCAGAGTTGTGTTGGCACATTGTCTCTGTGGTGTTGATGTGAAAAATGTGGGATGCTTGAAACTAGGCTTGTCCGTGCTTAATAGGGAGCTGATTTAATTGACCTGTGTATTATACATTCTTCTCCTCCTCCTTCTTCTGATGAGACACTAGGAGTATGGATATGTGCAAAAAAGTTGAGAATCAAACCTCCAACCATTTTGCTTAAATGACAAAAGGCTCTATCATTCACATCAACCTAAGTTTATTGTATTTGATACATTTCTTTTATAGCATCAGTATTGTAACATTGTAAGTCTTTGCATATTTGAAATTTGAGTATCTGTTTTGCTAGGCTATAGAGTTTTGGAGCAATTAACTGAGCCATGATCATATGGTACAATAGTTCTTTAGTTATTAGAGGCGTTAGGAAAATGAGAATTGGATTGCTGTTGTGAAGATTGAGATTGAAGCGCTTGAGAGAACAGGACTAGGGACTTGGTGAAGCTGCCGAAAGGGAAGAAACTAATTGGGAGTAAATGTTTACAGCCAAGTACAATTCATTTGGTACTTTGAGAGATATAAGCTTAGTTGCCAAAGAGTATGGTTAAACCTATGCTATGGAATACTTGGGGACTGCTGCCCTAAAGCAAATGATATGATAGTTGATAAAGAGAAGATAGTTAATGGCCTGACTGGTACTTATTGTGTTCCCTCACAACCAAGTAGCATACGTGTTTACAAAAGGCTGTCTAATCCATTTTTCAGAAATTAATTAGTAAGCTTGGAATATATGAACTTCACTTACCAATTTGAGGGAGAGTGGAGAAGTACTGTATGCATAGTCGCAATTATTGTATTTAATGTGTAGTTATTGTAGTTCCTACCTTTAGGGTTCTGTCTTTAGGAATTAGTTGTTATTAAATGTAACTTTTGGGGGTTAATTTTATTTATTTTAATTATTTCATGTCCTGGTATAACTTCCCTGTATATATGCCATACACCTGTTTGAGTAATGCAGTGCAATTGACCTTTTGTCGCGTCTCTCTAAATGCTTCCAGTAATTTTCATCGGGTAAATGTTTTCAATTTCCTGATGAGATTTCCGGTTTCTTGCTTTCCCAGATTGAATAATATTGAGGAGTTAACCCGGGCTACCATCAAGAAATTAACTCAGGGAATGGCTGAGCACAACAAATCTATGGCAGCAGCGAAAACAGATGAAGCAAAGGAAAAAATCGTGAGTTTTGTCCTCAGGGCTTAGAGTCTTCTCTCCTGCCTCCTTTATCTTACAGGATGTTTCTTGCTTAGTTCTTTTTTTTCTTTAATTTGATATTGCAGAAAACTCAAAAACAGAACACAACAACTGGTTTACGGACATGCAATAACATCTTGGCGATGACTAAGGTAAAAATCCATGCAAAAATGCGACCTTTTCTTGACGTTGACATATTTTGTGCACTTAATTCTTTGTCACTAATTCTTCTATTCCTTCCCCCTTCATTTCTTTTTGGTCCCTTTTATGACTTCTTGTGCAGCCATTACATGCCAAAACGCCATCGTTTATTGGAGACAAGAGCATTAACCTTTCTTGGAAGGAGACAGCAAAAACGACCGCATCATCTGCCACAACAGCACTCGGGTATGATACCTTTCTTCTTTCGAAGTTTACAACTACATAAATCTCAGATTAGTTATGATATTGAATCTTTTCATCGACCATTTGCCTTCAAACGTGGAGCTGTTGAGGAAGGCTTGTGAAGTTTTCTTCCAAGCCTCATTACATGTCCCTTGGGCTTCAAATGTTTACAAAGCGTTTGACCCATCATATTTTGTTTTGAAGTTTTGTCATAGTTAAAAGGAGTGAAGAGTGCGAGAAAAGGTTAAAAAAAAACAAAAAATCATTTTAGCTCAAATTCAAACTATTCAAGACTGATGAATGATTTTACTGTAATTAGAACATAAATATTTACTTATCCTGCAGAGCAAAGCGGCCAGCCACTGCTGCTAATGGAGCCAATAATATTGCATTGAAGAAGGGTCGAGGTGCTGGTGGTTTTCAAAATCAACTTGTTAATAGAGCACTTGAAGGATTATCCAGTGGCGGTAGAGGCAGTGCAAGGGGCAGAGGCCGGGGTTGGGGTGGAAGGGGAAGGGGAAGGGGAAGGGGATATTAGTAGCTTTATTGCGAATGTGATAGTTTAGAAACATCAGCTTGCTTCCAAGAAACTAGCCTAATATGGTTAGGAGCGGTTAATGTATTAAATTGTCAGAGGAAGTTTTGATTATAGAGAACCTGGAGGTTTATTTATTTTCATTGTGGACCAAGTTGTATGTTGTATTTTATCCAGAGCTTCTACGTGGAATGCTGATTATTGCAGACTCTTGGGGTAGATTTTGTCTCCCGTGATAGATGGTGGTTGATTGTAGACTACACCAATAAGAAGCAATTGTGGACCGGTCTTGTTATGTATGTATGTATGTCCTGGTGAGTTAAACCTTTTTTCCTTTAAACATTAGGATAATTTAAAGTCTTCTTGGAAGGTTGCGTACACCTATCCTTCTTTAGACCTCAGTTATTTGGAGTATTGCGCATTGAGTCACATTTAGAGCATTTAGGAGAATTTGAACTCGTCTTCTCATGTTCCTCCTTTACATTTGCTAGATGTGCCAGTTTTAGGCCCCAATAGTGATCTAAATTTATATTTAAGTAGTTACTTATTTATTAGTGTGGTAAATATTAATCAAGATAAAATTTAGTCTCAAGTTATTTATAAGCTTCTGAGTCATATGATTTTTGTTGTACTTTATATATTTTTCATAAAATTTAACAGAATATAAATATTAAATGGGTCTCTTGCATTTTTTTTTTTCAAACTTTCTCATGTGAAAGTGCGGTGAATTTTTATACATGCTTTGGGGAGAAGAGAATTTAAAACACGGTTGGACCTTGTAATCATTTTATACCATACATATAACGTGCGTGCGTGCGTGATTAAAGTAAATTTAAAGATCATTCAACAAACAGTCAAATCAGTATTATTCTTTTGGTAACTTACATTTTAGAAGGTTCTAGCCCTGCTGTGTGGATGGTTAATAAATTTTTGGACTCTCGCTTTCCCTTCTTTTCAATATAGATTATTGGGTTAAAATTGGAGGTGGTAAAATGTTGAATATATGTTTATTGAAATTTGATTTGAAGAATTGAAGAGGTGAAATTTCATATAAAAAATTGAATAGGGGAAAGGCCCAAATCATTATCATTATCATTAATTGACAGAAAAGAATAAAAATTATATGATTCTTTGATATAAGATTCGAGAAGAATTGAACAAAAAAGTACTGATTAGATATCAAACTTAGACCTTTTCTGCTGTACTTGCACAGCTGGACATTTTTCAATCCGTTTTTTCCTTGGAATCCTGTGCAGATTGCACTTGATGATACTAATTTTGATGTTTAACATGAGAGTTATTTTGATATTCAATTTAATTTTAAATATAAGATTTTAATTTATTTTTTTCTTCTCACATTTATTTATTTTTAAATAATCCTTGTAGTAGTTACATAAATTAAAAGTTTTATTAAATAGTAATTCCAACTAATATCCATGATTAATAAAGATATTTTAAGAAAAATAATACATATTTATTACAAATAAATAACTTAATTAATTTGTTTAATCTATTTAAATTAGTCAACTTACTCTTATATCAATGACTGCATGTAGTATATTCTAGTCTTATATTTAATTTAGTCAATTCTTATTATAAAGGCCTATTAATAGTCTTGCATAGATTAACAGATTCTGTTAAAATTAGTTAACAGTTTTTAAATTTTGAAAATTATCCTCAACAAAGTTTATGAATTTAATCGGGAAAGTATTTTAGACGTTGGCAAAAAAAAAAAGTATTTTAGACAAAATGTTTTAGATTAATGATTATGAGGAGAATAAGAACTAGATTGAACACTAGAGAGGATTAACAATAGTACAAGTTACAAACTACTTTTTTTTTTAGTTGCTAAAGCATACGTATCTTCCTATTGAAAGTAATCCTATTCGAGTTACTGTCAAGCACTTAAATGTGGGCACCTTTCCTAGCAGGGATCCGAACCTTGGTTCGTTATTTTGTGAGGGACTAGCTCTTTCTACTAAACCCAATCCTTGTTGGTTACAAAGTACAAACTACTTTTTTTTTTGGTACAAACAAAGTACTCTGTACAAGTTACAAACTACTTCTTTCGTTGTTGTTTTTGTTCCTTTTTTTTGTGTAATACAGACTACAACATTTGCAATAATCCATTTGTTGTTATTGTTGGGCCAGAACAATGAATTTGTAGAACTTTTCTCAACAAAGAATGATTGGGTCCGAAACTGGACTAGAGTTTAGTCTAATGAACTAGTGATGAAACTGGACTCCGAAATGTAAACGGGTTTCAGTGTCGGATCTGTGCCGTGCGCGCTGCCATTTCCCCCTCCCGCGCTTTCACAGCGGAGCTCCGCCTAGTCATCAGCCAGAGTAATGTCGGGATTTTGGAAACCTGGGACCGAGAAGCCTCGCCTCGTCGACGATGAAGAAGGCGGCGTTCTTTTCTTTTCAGCTTCTCCTTCTTCCTCTTCCGGGTATCTATATATGCTTCACTGTTTCCAGGGGTATTTTATCTTCGTGTTTGGGCACAGTCCTTAGTGCTTCATTGAACTTTCAGATATGGGTATGCGAGTATGGAGAAGCAAAGGCAGCGATTGCCTGTTTACAAGTATCGGACTGCCATACTTTATCTGGTGGAGACTCATGCTACCACTATCATAGTTGGCGAGACGGGTAGTGGCAAGACTACTCAAATTCCTCAGGTTTGCATCTAGTGCTTATCATTTTCATATTTTGGGTTGAATCATTTTTGAAATGCAAAAATTTTAGATGGGTCTTGAGCTGTTATTGTAGCTTGTCTCATATTTTGAATTTAGAGTTCGGAGTTTTGTTTTCCTGCAAGCGCAAGAAACTTCTAAACACTTAATTCGACAGTGTGTTGTTGTTTGTTTTCTTGCATTGGCCTTCTCAACTGAATATTTCGAGGATTGAATTTGTGATCTTAAATACTTACTTTTTTTTTTTTTTTTTTTTTTTGTTTCCGCTCCCGAAATTACAGTACCTCAAAGAGGCAGGTTGGACCGACGGTGGTCGAGTAATAGCTTGCACTCAACCAAGACGGCTAGCTGTCCAGGTTCCACTTGTTCCTGCAACCTTTTGATTATACTTGATTCTTGATTTGTTGTAGATGATAAAATTTTGGAAGTTAAGCTAATAGGGGAGGAACAAACCAAATATACCATTGAATCCTCAATCTTTGGAACTTTCAAATTATATTTAAAAGTAACTGCACTAAGAGTTATACTCTTTACTTTTGTTTTACTACAAATAAAGACTATTATTCTAATTTGGTTGAAACTTTCGAAGTATGATTTTTGTCCTAACTGGGGTAATGAGTATACCTTTAACCGTGTGGCATTGTTACTCAATGCCTCTCGATGGTCCAAACTTCATGTACCATAATTCAGGCGTTCTTTTTTGGGATAAAGCATTGTTTTTTCATGCTGAAATATAATTCTAACTCTCCAAAATAATTGTTTGAGCTGTTTTAAGCTGCTAATGGTAAGAGATAAACGGGCCTCAAGGAATTCCCTTTGGCTGTGGGGATTCTACTTAGTACTTACTGCCATTTACTGTAATATACTAACATTTGGTTTAAATTGATTCTTTGGCATTTGCTCAATTTACCTTGGTTGAGATTTTATGTGAAGCATCCACGGAGGATAGAGTATGTGAGATGTTCCATCTTATGAGGATCATGGATTGGTGCTTTACAGGCTGTTGCATCTAGAGTTGCAGAAGAGATGGGAGTCAAACTTGGTGAGGAAGTTGGCTACACAATCAGATTTGAAGACCTTACAAAACCAGTGAGGCCTCAACTGTCCTTTATCCTTTCAAAGCCCTTAACTATATTTGGAAGCTTTATATACCTTTCTTGAAGATAACTTCTAGATCCTAGATGATGCCTTCAATCGTGATAATAATGTTATCATTTGAATGTATCTACATGAAACAAGTTGTGAGTTGTGATAGAAGTAGATCTATTGGTCAGTTCTCATAATAATGGCTGAGAATTTTCCTTTTTTCGGCAGCACAGGATGTTACAGCAGTAAAGTTTTTAACCGATGGCGTGCTGCTAAGGGAAATGATGGATGATCCACTTCTGACCAAATATAGGTACTTGTTATGATGCCAGATTCTGTTTGAGATGCAGACTTAAAATGACATACAGATTGATGGAATTGACACAGTTGACCAGTAGTTACAGAGTGGTGTATGATGGAAATTGAAGTTTTTGTGCTGGGTACATTAGAAGCAGAGAGAGTACCGTGCATATTTTTCACTTCATTGCAAAGGCCCCTGGAAGATTTGGAATGAATTTTTTCAAATATTTTTCAGGAACATTGGGTTTGCTCTAATACTTTAAATTTTGTTACTGTTTGGTTTTGGGCCCTTTTTACTTTTCGAGAATGGTTGGATTTAAGGACTTTTGAAATTTGCTGTGTTTGCTACAGCATAGTGTATTTTGTTGGAAAAGGCAATGCCAAAGTTTGGAAACATTTTTTTTTATTTTTTTTTTTACACTTGGCTCATTGCTTTTTTATACTATTCTATTTTGTTTATTGTATTGTTTGAGGGGCCTTTTTCCTGTATCTATGCTGGGTAGTGGAGGATTCTTTTGATGTGATGCATTTTTTCATTTCTTTGTGCCTTTTACTTTGGTTTCTTATTTCTACTTTACTTCTTTATTTTTGATCCATTCTCAATTCTCAGCGACAATCAATCTACCTGTATTGACAAGAATGGGTTGATCATGCCAAGATCTTGTTCATCCATGGCCTAATAAGTAATTTGGAAGGGTCTTTTCTTGGAATTTTGCAAATTTCTGGCTACCCCACAAGGGACCTTGTATTTGCTTTTATTCAGTCAATTTATATTTAGAATGATAAAAGGATAGAATTCAAATTTCTTGCCCTCAACATTTTTTTCCTTTATTTCTTGTTCCAGTGTTATAATGGTAGATGAAGCCCATGAAAGGTCAATTTCAACTGATATTTTACTTGGACTATTGAAAAAGGTATCAAACTGATGGTCAAACCTTATCAGCAAAAATTTTAGGGACTAAGAGGTGTTTATTGCGTAAATTTTTAGACCTCTCAATGAATCTTCTGTTTTCTATTTTTTTTTTTAGATTCAACGGCGTCGACCAGATCTGCGATTGATTATCTCTTCTGCTACAATTGAAGCAAAGTCAATGGCTGATTTCTTCCGGACAAGGTTTTGATTTGAGCATTAAATGAATTTGCCCTCTCTATTTGTTTTGGTTATGGCTTGCTTTCTTTGGTCCTGACCTCAACTATCATCTGTATACCTCTATGTATGGAACCGATCTTCATTTGATATGGATGAAATATTTTATCTGTAGAATAACCTTGTCTGTGAATACCAAAATTTTAGGATCCACCAGGTTTGTTTTTATTTACAGATATAGAATGGCCAGCAAAAAATTTTATCAGCGGGGGTTTTTAAAACCAATGATAGTGAAAGAACATTTTTATCCATTGGCCATCTAAATCCATTAATGTTTAGTTGTTCTTCTTGCCTTTTTTTTTTTTTAAAATTTATTTTCAATCGACTGCAATTATGCTGTCCATTGTCTAACCAGTGGCTGTATGCGTTTATCTTTCAATGTTCTTACTGCCTGCCCTTCCAAAAGAACAAGGGAGCATAGCACATGTTCAACATCCTATCTTCAATCAATTAATTAGTCACTAAATTAGAGTAATTAGTTATTTATTTGCGGCAAGTGTTTCAGTTTTTATCACTGCAATCACTATTACTTTTCTCATTTTGTCTGCATGACTCTACTTTGTCCACTTTCTAGTTAAAAATTTTTATACTTATTCTGGATAGTAAAATAGAAATGGTCATAATGTAATCTATCGATATTTGATTGGTTGTCTCATAGTGTTGCTGCATTATTTGAACTTGAAAACCTTTTTCCTGGTATATAGCCTTCAGTTAGCACATTTGAATCATTTGCTTGTTGCTCATGAGTTAAAAACAGTCATTAAATTTATCGTATATGCATTCTAACAGCAAAAAGCGTAGAGAACTTAAAAGTGAGGAGTGTGGACTACAGATGGAGCCAGCAATCTTGTCTGTTGAGGTATTCTTTTGGATACATGACTCATGCATATTTGTGAGTGCATATGTTTTTCAATGAGAACTTGGCTGTCATTTACCTTGTGATTCCCAGGGTAGAGGCTTCAATGTAGAAATAAATTACACTGAGGAACCTGTCCCGGATTATGTTCAGGCTACTGTTTCGACAGTACTTTTGATTCATGAGCAGGTAATTTTAATTCTCTCGATTTTTATAGTTCAGGGCCCTTTTTCTTTACAACTTTATTTTCATATCTGAAAGCTAAAATGGGTTAAATTTTTATAGTTATCTCCGATCAAGGTAGGTTTTGCTAGGCTTGACTCCTGATTGGAATAGGGCTCATTAACTGACAATGAGTTTGTGTATATACCATAAAGCAAGTATGTGGTGAGTGAAAATGGCTAACTGAAAGGATCGGCAAGTCTCTTGCTAATTGTATATCTTGGAGTTATAAGTTTCATCTTTAGTGTATTTCAAGAATCCAATTTGAAATCTTGTTTGTGCAATGATCAAAATTCTGATCTTTCCAGACTGCCCCATAGATGTACCTGTGTATTTTATGTAGAAGAATACATCCTAAGTGAACGTTTCTTGGTAGTTTATAACTACTTGATCAGTTGTGATTGGATTTTAGAATACAAGAGTCATTCTGCCATTATTTCCGATATAGAGCATGTAAATAAGGAAATAAATTTGGAGTTCAGTTCTATATTGGTGTCGTTATTATTTAGTAAGCCTGAATTGTATTGCCATTCCTTACTCTTTTATTTGGCACATTCCTCTGTGCTAACTTAATATTTATGTCTCCCTACTTCATCGGCTCCGTAGTAACTCAAGGTACCGACTTGTTTTTTCTTGGTTTAATTTAGTTAGTGACTTTTAGTGACTTCCAGAAATGCCTTATAAGATTTACTGAAATATTAGCTCAAAACATGGTTTAACTACTAATTATATGAAGAACTGAACAATTGATTTTGAGCTTGGGTTTTGATTCGGTATTGTTTTTTTTATTCTCAGGAACCTTCAGGTGATATTCTTGTTTTCCTTACTGGGCAAGATGATATTGATGCTGCTGTTCAGTTGCTTGATGAAGAAACTCGAACTAATGTAAAGAACTCTGCAGGTATATGTTATATGCACTTCATATGTAGGCTATTAGCCGTTAAGTTATTTTCATCTCTGACTACTTACAAATAAGAGTGAGTAGAACATGCATAAATTAGTTGTGGCTATGTACAATGTTTGTGTAGTGTCGCAGGAAAGAGTGATTGCCTGATTGGTGTAAGCTTCAGTAGCTTTGGCTCATGGAACGAAGAACCAATCAGGGAAATTCTATGATATAGCGTTTTTCTTTTTGAGAAAATGCATGCAGAAGAGTTGTTGCCAATGGTAATGTGGTCTTTTTGGTTGAAGGGAAATGGTAGTGAGGGGAGATTCTAATGAGTTCGGCTTTAAAGAAATGGAGAAGTGGGGTTAAAAGTTTTTAATAAATTTTCCTTACTCTTTTGTCTTATAAATTCTCTTTATTAAAATCTTATAACCCCACTTATCCTTTTTTTTAAATTGAATTCATTAGTCTCCCCCCCCCCCCACCCTCCACCCAAATGGTGGGTAGAGGAAATACCCTCCTCTTGGTCTTGGAATGAGGTACTATTTAGAGCCGGCACAGCATGACAATGTGATGGAATATAAGAATGATATATTTTGAGGAAACCCATGGAAGGAAACTTAAAAAATATATATATATATATGTTTATATATATTAGGTTTCCTTCTGCTAAAGGAAACATCCCACTTGCAGCCCTATTTGATCATATAATGATTAACAAACCACTTGCTAAATAAAGTAAAAACAGAAAGTATGAACAAATGTGCTTGGTTTGAACTTGTTGAAAGCGTTGGTGATCTTCTTGTTTGGCAACTGCTATTTGGTTATAGTGCTGCATGGTTTGTTTTACTGGATTTTCTTATAGAATTAGTTGATATTTTATTTTGTTTTTTCCCCTATTTTTTTAGTCAACTAGTGGGCTAAGCCCATTTCTCCCCTGTACCCTAATTTGATTGATAAATAAAGCAAAGGTCAATGAGTGCATTGCTGTGGCCATTCGGCTGAGAATAAACAGAAAGTGATGAAAAATGTATGTACAGAAGCAAGTTAGTTCCTATGGTATGCCCTACATAAGTTGCGATAGGAATTTTTTCTTGGATCTCCGGCTTCCTGCTGATGTTGTCGCAAGGGATTGTCTACCTCTGATATGCAAATTCTTGTTGCATTTCATGGCACAATAACATGAAGTGCTTTGTTTCAGCATAAATATATGCATACAAACACAATACAGAAGGAAGATTCCTCCACATACTGTGAGGTTGTTGGTCTGAGCATCAAATCATTTTACGTTAATCACCCTCTATATATGGTTTTTCTATTTGATAGTGGAACCTTGCTGTATTGAAAAGAATAAGAGATAAGATAGTTGATCCTACTGTAGTTGTTTTGCCTGTAGATTTAGTTTGTGATACGCTGTTACAATATGGTAATGCCCTAGTTCTATCTGTATTAAAGATTATATTGACTTGTATTAAAGAGTTTCTCTTCTCCAATGTTTCTTGTGATGGCAAACATTAAGTAACTGCATACTGCTTTTTCTCTTGTGCCAGGATTAATCATTTTGCCTCTATATTCTGGACTTCCTCGTGCTGAGCAGGTAAATAATACATTATTTACACATTCATGAACCTTATTCTTTTGAAATTATTTTTTAACTTTGATTTCATTGAATTTTTGAAAGTTATGATGAATGGTTAACTTCATATTAGGAATTGGTATTTTCTCCCACTCCAAGAGGGAAGAGGAAAGTAGTTGTTTCAACAAATATAGCAGAAACATCAATTACTTTAGAGGTAATATTGTTGGTGTTCTAGAGCCATTTCTTCAAGGAATCAGATTAATCAAAGGGCGACATAGTACTGCGTTCTTTATCCTTGCTCTTCTGATTGTGCAGGGCATTGTGTATGTTGTTGATAGTGGATTCTCAAAACAGCGGTTCTACAATCCGGTATTTTCATTGTGTCTTTTCAACTCATGGTTGTAGATATGCATGTGGCCCATGGGATGATTAGTGCAAACTCCTGTGATTTTTTTTTTTTTTTTGGGGGTCTTTTTCAAATTTTAATTGATACAAACACTGACCTACTGGACTTAGCACCCACTATCTCAATTTACATTTTCATTTTCCTCTCCCATCTAACCTTAACCTGACAAAATACCATTGTGCAGGGATTATACTTGGTTGCCACTGTTGCACATTTATCCAGTAGATGTCAGAATCTTCATTAATTTCTCTATAAATTTTATACACCACCAATATTGAATAATGGAAACAATAGAAGTATGTATATTTCAGTATAGGATGATTTCATGTTAATATCCTTTTAGAACTAAGAACCACTGTTGCTTTCTTATCAAACTTTTCCTTCTTATTATAGTTTTGTTTTATTAGCACTTCGTTAAATTTTGGACAGTTCTAACTGCTATGCTAGTAACTTTATCTCTAGAATTTCCTTACCTCTGTTTTATCCTCCCCTCCTCTGATAGTCTTGACACTGTTCTTACATGCTATTTTCTCTCTAATTCTGTGACAGATCTCTGATATAGAAAATCTCGTTGTAGCACCCATATCCAAGGCTTCTGCTCGACAAAGAGCTGGAAGGGCTGGACGAGTACGACCGGGAAAGTGTTACAGGTTTCTTGCTGCAAGTAGTTAGGTTTTGCAGCTAATTTTTTTAAAGTTAATATATTCCTCAATAGTATCTCTCAAGATTTATTGGCCCTTCTTTTAAAGAAAGCTTTTTATAGATTTCCTGATTGGGAGATATTATGCAGCAATTTCCCGTGTAAATTCGATAATGCATTTCTTTTTTCTCTGTTCCTATGACCTAGAGTCACTATTTAAATTGTAATGGTGATGCATGATTTATAGCTTCTCCTTACTTGCCCCTTAAGTGCTTTCTAGCTTGTTTTGACATTGATAACCCTTGGTGCAACTAGGTTGTATACAGAAGAGTATTTTACCAAGGAGATGTCTGATGAGGGAATTCCAGAGATACAGAGATCAAACCTTGTTTCATGTGTAATCCAGGTTAGCAATTTTGTTGTGTTGATTTACTGCAACATATTTTCACAGCCAGCTCATGTCTTTTCTTCTCTAGAATGCAATTTCATATGAGATAAGATTTGGATCTTTTGCTCTATAATAGTGATGAGCTGACCTTTTGCTTTATTGACCTTCTAATTCATGATGAACTCATTTTAATTAAGCAAACAATTGTTAAAGTCCTCTTCTCATGATAAATATTTTTACAAAACTGAAGAGCAATTTTTCCTTTTAATTAATTAATTATTTGTTTTACCAATTATAATGTTTCAATAAATCTGATTCCTATTTTCCATCGCCTGAAATTTTGTTAATAATCTTACATAAGTGGGCCGGAAGCTCCATGGCTGCATACATCAGCTGTCATGGCGGTTCAATTCGCTGACATTGCCTGAGGGAATGAGGTGAGCTCAAAAGCATTGTGTAAGGAGAAAAAAAGAATGCTCAGCGAGTCAAGATCCATGTTCATGAGATTCGACGGGTTTTTACGTTGGCTGTCGAGGGCCTAACACAACCCTCCTCCTTTATCCGGGCTTGGGACCGGCTATACAACATAGCGAGTCAAGATTTGTAAACTAAATTTATTTCAATTTGACGTGTGTTTTTATGATGAGCACTTGACTTGTACTTGACTATAACTGATCCTGTAATTTAAGATGTACTCCTCCAGTCCTATAAGACCCATTTTGTAGTCTAAATTACATTATAAAATGGGTTTTATATTTAAGACCGGAGGAGTATTATATATTTCATTTATGGTAAAAATGATGTTGTTGGAGAAAAATTATGGAAGGACTTCAAGAACAGATTTCCATGCTGGTGCCGCGTACTTTTGTAGTTGTGTTCTGAACCATGCCGTATCTTTTATCTCACCCTAGCTTCAATGAGATGATGCCTCAGTTTAAATCCTCCTATGTTGTTTTCCAGATCTGGAATAATAATTATGTCTTAAGAGTACATTGGTCATGTGTTGTGTCCGGTATTTTGCAGTTAAAAGCATTGGGTATAGATAATATCTTGGGCTTTGATTGGCCAGCGTCTCCATCTCCTGAAGCTATGATTCGAGCGCTAGAAGTTCTTTACTCACTTGGTGTCTTGGATGATGATGCCAAACTTGCTTCACCAACTGGATTTCAAGTTGCAGAAATTCCACTTGTATGATTTATATTCTGTTCAAATCATGTTAGAATCATTTATGACATTAGTAGTTATTATTACCTTTATTATGATATTATAATATCATTATATGAGAAGGACCTCTGATTCGGTAAGCCAGGAAGAGGGTCAACAGCCCATAAGTGTATCAGAAATAAGTATTCACAGTTAACTTCCCACGAGCATTACTTACATCATATTTCCCTATTTTTTTAAGGACCCTATGATCTCAAAAATGCTGATAGCTTCTAGCCAATTTGGATGTTTAGAGGAGACAATTACAATCGCTGCTGTTCTCTCCATCCAAGTAAACTGTTTACCCTTTGTGTTTTGTGAAGTTAAATTTGCCATTTCTTATGTAAAGTTGGCAAATTCTGCAAATAATTTTTTGTGGTGGTTGGGAATAAGCAACGATCTGAAGTTGACTTCAGTCTCAAAATTATTCTTGCAGTCTATCTGGATCTCTGGGAGAGGGATACAAAGGGAATTGGATGAAGCAAAATTGAGATTTGCTGCTGCGGAGGTAATTATGTTGAATATTTTACTTTTAATGCATGACTTTCCTCGATATATGATCTTGCTTTCATATATGATACAGGGCGACCATGTAACATTCCTTAATGTATACAAGGGATTTCTTCAGGCTGGTAAATCTTCACAATGGTGCCACAAGAACCATGTGAACTATCATGCTATGGTGCGTATGGTTCAGTATTTTTATATGCTTCAATTCTGGTGCGTGTATCATTTTTTTAACTTTCCAATATATACGTGAACATGCTGTGCAGAGAAAGGTTCTTGAAGTCAGGGAACAACTGAAAAGAATTGCGCAGAGGATAGGCTTAGTCTTAAAATCTTGTGAAGGAGATATGAAGGTAGGTTTGTATGACGCTTTTATTAATTTACTTGGCAAGCTTGTTGAACCATAGGGCTGCTTTTCTAGAATGTGAATTTATGCTTCATTTCTCTTGTGTCTCAAACTTAATATTGAGAAATCAGATAAGTTCCTTCCTCTTTCGTCATGGAATTTTTCACTGCTTGCGAATGATACCACCAGTATCTTTTTTGAATTATTTGATTTTCTTTTTACAAGTTACTCACTTTCAATCATGTAAGTTGCTGTTCTTTCGTGTTGATGCTAAAGGCTTCATACATTTTCCCGCCTTGAAACCAGGAAAGACAGTGAAGCTTTTCTATAACTGTTCCTTTTTCATGAATGGCAGCTATGGGATGGGACAACTCACTCACACATCCTTTTCATTTCCTTATTTCATCAGTTTTGACGATTTATTTTTCTCATTTTATTGGATGTTTAATTGTGTGAGATCTTTGGGTTGGAATTGCCGTTGAAAAAAAAGAAAAAGAAATAGAAAAAGGCAAAGAAAAAGAAGAAAATGTTTCAGAAAAGCCAAAAAAAGAAGAGGGAAATAAAAATGGTATCAAAGAATAAAGGTTAGATGAGGGCTTTTTTTTAATTGATGTTTTACATTGTCCAGGTGGTTAGAAAAGCAGTTACTTCTGGGTTTTTCGCTAATGCATGCCTTCTAGAAGTGAGTGACCCCTTCACATGCCTGAGATACACTTTTTGAAAAATCTTTTTTTTTTTTTTAACCTATTCTTTTGGTGACATTTTCTTATTTTTATATCTTGTTAAAAGGCATTCAGCCATGATGGGATGTACAAGACAATCAGAGGTTCTCAGGAAGTTTATATTCATCCATCCTCAGTTTTATTCAGGTAATTAACAGAACCAATTTTGTGATTTATCTTACTATTGCAGTTTGAGATGCATTAATTTATTAGTCTGTTCTTTCTGCTACTATATGAAAAATGAGGAGCCTGATGTGGGTAAAATGTCTGAAATTACGGATTTAGATGTTTCTATGAACTAATACAACTGCATGGCTGGTGGGGAAAGGTTAAAAATGAACTTGTTTGTGTGAAGACACCAACAATGACTCTATTATGCGAAGAACTCATTTATGTCAATACAGCAATTTGCCACTTATTTAAAGCTCGTGAGGACTTGTGCAGACACATTCCTCTGGACATTTGCGCATAGCATGCAAAATGAGATATATTGTTTATACCCAACAAACAGCGTAACTTCTAAATTTTTTAATTCTGTATTGATAAACTCAGTGTTTGTCGTACTTGCTTAAATCTGCATGCACCTACTATCTGTTTTGCAGAGTAAATCCAAAGTGGGTATTATACAGTTCTCTTGTATCAACTGATAAGCAGTACATGCGTAACGTCATATCCATTGATCCTTCTTGGCTGTTGGAAGCTGCTCCACAATTCTACCAACTACAGCGTCCAAATCCTCTTCACTGATCCACTGGGATAAAGGAAAGCAAATAGGATGTGCTTGATAGATAGATACTGTTGTAACTTGTAATCATGTTAATTCTCAGTTTTGGCAGCATATCAGCCAGTGATATGGAACACCTGATGGAAGCTTATTTCTGCTCCTCATTGGAAGCTCAAGGTTTTGATGGTAGCTCCCCCCCCCCCCCCCAAAAAAAATACTACTATAACTTGGAAACTTCATTTGAAGAAATAAATCGCTGGTCTCGCTTACGTCTTTTTAAGTTTGATGCCCATTTTTCCTTAAGCCTCAATTTTTATAATTTATAATACCTCCAATTCTTAGTAAAAAAAATTAGTTTGACATTCACTTTAGTCTTAAATATAAAATTCTAATTTAATTTATCTATCATATTTGTCTCTTTTTTTTTAAAGTGATAGTTGCACATATTGAATGTTAGTTAACATTTGTTTATTGTAAATAATTAATTTAACAAATATTTTTAATCCATTCAAATTAGTTAACTGATTATATTAAGAACCAAAGGTAGTATTTCTTCCGATTCTATTTTTAAGTTTCAAATAAATTAATCATGTTTGACAAGATAGCAGATAAAATTAGTTAAAAATAATAAATATGTTAGAAATGTAGGTAATAAATGAAAAAAATGATGAAAGGGAATATATTGGGATAATATTAATGAAAGAGGGAGAGTATTAAATATGATCAATTAAGGGTAAAATTAAAAAAAAAAAAGGGTAATCAATGTTTAGACAAATTCAAAAATAAAGTTTATATTTTAGATTAGATTCTTCTCCAAAAATTTTTTTAACCGAGATTCTTCTCCAAAAATAAAGCTTATATATAAAACCAGAGGAAATATTAAATATTGCAAACGTGGATGAGGTGAATAACAAAGTGCATATTGAGGGTTGACTAATCAGCATTGGCTTTATGATGGTGGATCCGATCGCTAGTTTTCTTGGAGATTAATCACTTGCATCTTGGAAATCGTTTAACTTATACCCTGTTTCTAAAATGTATATTCAGTGTTATTGTTTTCTGAATTTATGATTTTTTTCAAAAAAATTATCTCTAATTGTACATGTTAAAAGGAATTCTTATTACTGAGGTAGCTTTCACATAAATAATTAAAGAGAATATTTTTTTAAAAAATTAACATGTATCTCATGAGAGCTTCACGTTGCTTATGTGATTTTGAGCTAATGCCCTCCCTTTTTACCAAAAAGGAAAAAGTGTAGTATGCCGAGTAAATCTAAAGTGAGTAATTAATTATACGGTTTTATTGTATTCAGTATCAACTGATAGTTAATAAATACTACCTCCGATCCTTAATATAAGACCTCGTTTGATTTTTATTTTGATCCTAAATATAAGACCTCAATCTACTTTATCTCTTATATTTATGTATTTTTTTCCTAAGGTAATCTTTCTAATAATAGTAGTTCTAACCAATATACTTGATTAGTAAGGATATTTTAGGAAAGATAATACATATTTATTACAAGTAACTAACTTAACTTATTTTCTTAATCTCCTCAAATTAGTCAATTTTTTAATCTTTTTTTGGCCAAAAATACTTCTTATTATTCTAAATATAATAAAATTTTAATTATACAACCCTTAAATATACATTGCCAGGAAAACCCTGGAACACTCATGCTTGCATTTCATAACTGAATGCGAAAAATGATTTAATTTAATTAGGAGAGAAACGGTAATATGATTACAATTGTTTTAAGATCGCGAAATAATTTGAGGTTTGAACTGAAATCGAACCAGTCCCTTTCAAGATAAGAAAGAATTGTGTAATAATAAAGACAAATGATTTCTATAATAACTATATATAAATGATTTGTCTACCAAAAAATTAAATCATTGCCTTTGTGATGTGATGATACGCGCATATACATGCACCCACATATATAAATTGATTAGGAAGAAATAAGCCGGGGAAAAAAAATGATTGCCTTGTGATGATTGGCACATACTCATATTTTGATTAGGAAGCAATAAAGAAGATCATTATTATGCCACGGAAGTTCATCATGCAACCGCAATTATTGATGTGTCATTTTGAAGAAATGTAATTAAAACCTCTGATTTTGATTCAAGTCTTAAAGGATCGAAGCTTTTGTTTTAATAATTCGTAATCTTTAGGCCGCAAATTGGACAACTGATTTTTTTTTTTTAAGTTTTTGTCCGGATAGAAAATCTAGTCTCTCGTAATATAACGAGTTAAAATTCAAATCCTTGTAAGAAAAGATGGGCACTATATCTCAAATAAGATTGTTTTCAATAAAAAGATATCTATGCTTAAAAAAAAAATATGTATATACCACTCGGGAACAGATTACATACATACATAGTAATTTGTGCTCATTCTTCCTTAAAAATATAAAGGACATCTTATTTGCTTTATTTCATCGATTATGTGTATTCCCTAACTTCAAAACCTGAGAAACAGTGCCGACGAATATCTGTAAGTTATATAGCTCTTCCAATGCATACATATAGACAAAGAGATTCGCCATTTCTCCTAAAATAAATCCTTCAAACTTTCACTATTATTATTATGATTATTGTGCTCCATCTTTTTCTCAGATATTAACTAGATCGTGTGCATGGGATGACGAAAATATGGCAAAACTTTTAGACAACATACAATTTATGTATTTTTATCAAACATTGTTTAAATAAGATTAAATTTTGTTCAGGGTTTCCTTGAATGATTTTAAATAAAAAATACATGGTATAATAAAAATTATAAGAATGATGATGCTTGTGTTGTGCATATGTACATAAATAATGGATACTAAATTATATTATCTACGTTATTCCAACGGAACAGATAATTATATCCGAGGAGAAAAGCAGTATGATATTATATCAATACAATATAATCAGAGAGAAGTAAAAAAATAATAATAATGACGGGGAAAAATAAATAAATAAATAATGTCACATGATACTCTATATTTCTAAATGCATGATTATTTACTCCTAGATCGTCCCGCTACTCTCTCATACTGGCGGTGCCGAGGGTTGAACAGTGCTACCGCCAGACAGCAAGGCGGGTTCAGCCACTGTGCGGCAGATCGGGCAAGTGTTGTTGGAACCGAACCAAGTGTCAACACAATCAACATGAAACACGTGCTTGCAGTTAGGCAAAACCCTAACGGCTGCATCTTCCGCAATGATGGCTAAGCAAACGGAGCACTCTACGGTTTCGCCGTCGTTGAACTGGTCCGTTTGCTTGTACTGGAGTTTAGGAATCGACGCTATGACGGAAGAGTCAAGCCCCTGACGGTCGCAGTTTGGGCAACGTGATTCCACATCAATCGGCAAAACTTGAGTACTGATTTGATAAACCGGCGGTTGATCGCCGAAGCGTCTGCTCAGGCTCAGCTGACGACTTCGTCGGAGCCGTCTGGAGCAGAAGTGGAAAATGATTACAAAGAAGACGATGGCGAATAACGTGAAAGCGACGGCAAGCATCACCCTGGGGCCGATACCGAGTGAGTCATCGTCTTCTCGATCTGCAAAACCCATTTTCCTTTTCTGCGTCGTTTTTTCCTGGTTTTGGGACGATGAAGATGTTCAATCTGTCTTGTTTATTCATGGTGATGTATATTGCTATGTGATTCAATGGAAGTGAGGGTCGGTTACTCAATTAGGTCGTTGAAAAAGACGATTTAAAGACTAATTAGAAATTCAAAACACTATCATTTTGGAATTTGTCAGGATGCTTGACTTTTAACGCGGCTATATTTTTATTCTTTGGGGGGTTGAAATGTATAATATAGTTCACACCCTCACGCCCATGTACATATAATTGATCTTGATTTGCATACACGCTATTTCATCAAGCTAAATATGTGCCTCCAGTATTATAATATCTCGTTTGTAGTTCTTATAATTAGGACCAAAGGTAGTAAATATGTTTATCTTTGTATTATTAAGCTTTATGTTATGTATAGATAATTTTTTTAAGCCTGAAACTTTATTATAAATCCCACTAAACTCTTTCATTTAAATACGTACGTAGTTTTGTATCATCACTTGTCTGTGTACATATTCAAGCCATTAAAATGATATACTTAATTAGTGCTTGTAGGGTTACATGCATATAGATATATATTTAAGGGGATATATAGTTGGAGGTTAGGGTTATCCATAGATAATTAAATATTTAAGTGGGCTTATTATCAGAGTTTAAAGGTTAAGGAGATTATTTGTATATGATTCAAAATTTAGAGGAGTTTTGTGCTATTTAATCCATATATATATATATATATATATATATATATATAAGTTGATGGATAAGACACAAGCAAATGATCTCATGAAATAAACTTTTTAGATTTTGAAAGCTTCAAAACACGCAAAGTCAAATACGTTGATCGGATCTTTTTCTTATTTGCATGACAAGATTTCTATTCGATTTAATTAATTTCCATTTACATCGTCGGTAGTTTACTTTTCATAACCTTACTCCAAACCTGTGAAGTACGGTAGCCTTCTGGGGAGAGAAAGTCAACATGAGCAGATACATAAACTGGTTAATTTGTCCAGCACGTTTTTAGATTTTCGTTTGAACATTTTGAGTTTAAACACTTTTATTTAAACTCAGATTAAAAATTGAACAATTCATAGCTTATACTTCTGTGCCATGTCAAACAAAACATTATCTGATGGTAAGTTTCCATTCCTCCGAGGATCAGATTTCCAAGCTACTATCTCCGGTACTTAATGTAAGAAGTAATTTGATTTTTAATTTGGTTCTCAATATTACTCCTGGTCTTTAATATAAGAGCTGGCTGACTACTTTGAATAGATTAAAGACACTAGTTAAGTTAGTTATTTGTAATAAATAGATATTGTTTTTACTAAAGTATCTTTACTAATCAAGTGCATGGGCAAAACTATTATCATTACAAGGATTGCTTTTAAAAAAAAAGATAAATATGAGAGACAAAGTAAATTGAGATCTTATAATTAGGACCAAAATAAAAGTCAATTGAGTTTTTATACTATCTCCGGTTTTTAATATAAGACCTTATTTGACTTTTATTTTGGTTCTAAATATAAGACTTTAATATATTTTGTATCACATATTTACGTATTTTTTTAAAGTGGTCCCTCTAATAATAGTAGTTATATCCCATATACTTAATTAGTAAGAATATTTTAGGAAAGATAACACCTATTTATTATAAATAACTAACTTGACTTATTTTCTTAATTTATTCAAATTAATCAACTAGCTCTTATATTTAGAACCAAATGTAATATTAAGAACTGGAGGTAATATAAAATTTTAATCCACTTTGTCTCTCATATTTATTTATTCTTTTAGAGTAGTTTTTATAGTTGTTACACACGTTAAAGATTCTATGAAATGATAGTTATAGCTGATGTGCATGATTAGTAAAGATATTTTAGAAAGACAACACATATTTATTACAAATAACTAATTTAATAAATTTTTTTAATCTACTCAAATTAGTCAATTAGCTTTTATATTAAGTATTATAGGTAGTATTTTCTGAAAGATGGATTAAGCTAAATGGATTACGGATTAATTCACTAGAACGATTAATAAACATCTGTTCAATTTGGACAGGGACATCTTTCTAGCATTTTTCATGGTTTCTTTTTACTTTTTATATCTGAGAACAACATAATTCTCAAGCCTTAAAATACGAAGGATCAGTGGAAAGTAAACATAGAGAAAAATTGTAACAATTTATCATCATTCCTTTTCATATCAACTGCATAACCTTTTTTTTTTCTTTTTTCCCAACGCCAAGAACTAATAACATTCTAAAATAATGATGTTTAGTGTCCATTGTGGTTCACACTTAGCAATTAATACCTCCGGTTTTAAATATAAGAGTTAGTTAACTAATTTAAATAGATTAAGAAAATAAGTTAAGTTAGTTATTTGTAATAAATATGTGTTATCTTTTCTAAAATATCCTTGCTAATCAAGTGTATGACTATAACTATTATTATTAGAAGAATTATCTTAAAAAAAAAGATAAATATGAAAGATATGCATGAAGTTATATTTATGATTAAAATAAAAATTAAATTAGATTTTAAGTTAATGTCGGGTTCTCAAGTAAAGGTGCATGATTTTAGGCCCAAAGAAAATCAAATGTCTGGTCCCGTAGCTCAGTTGGTTAGAGCGTTGGTCTTATGAGCCGAAGGTCGCGGGTTCGAGCCCCGCCGGGACCAGACTGGCCAAACCTTTTTAAATTATTAAATTTTGCCACCCAATCTTATCTGCGGTTTCCACACCAACGGCCGACAACCTGCCACGTTCCAACCTTATTAAAGCCAAAAGATTCTATATGTACTCGATCCCACCACCCATGATAATCTGGTTTGACTCGGCATTTCCCTCGGGGATGTCTTCCTCTCTGCTTCCACTTCATCCAATTACATGGCCAATAATTGAAACCGAATTCTCTCTTTGTTTTTACAAATACAAATTGACCCCCAGCCCCACACGATACTCAGAAATCAAAGCAACCCATCACCATCACAAATGCCGCTTCGATTTGTTCTGCTGTCGCTGTGACAACCCCTGTTGAATTCTCAACATCCAACCAACAAACGATGCTTGCCATGCGTTACGCTGTACTACACTGCACACGATATCTTCTGAGTGGGAACGTTTGCGTCGGTTAAGGCTTTGATATTGGGGGTTGGAAGAAAGAGAATGCTGTCATCATATTTTTTTATTTCTCATCTGCCACATCGTTTGAGAAAATTAAAGGTGGTATTGGGCCATGGCAATCCATATTTCATACCTACCTTTTATTTCTTTTCTGACTATTTCTCTCTTCGTCTTGTGCTTTCCTTCTTCTTTACTTGTGCCGATATTATTGCTGCCTCTTTTTTCCACCCGAGTTCCTGGTAGCCAAAGTACGAAAAGGTGTGGTTAGACGCCTCACAGCTTCTTCTCTGGTATGCCATTCTCTCCCAGATTCATTTCTTGCTCGTCTTTGTTTGCACTGTTTCGGTTTCATAAGTGGGTTGACTATTGTTATTCTGGGAATCCCCTTTTGCTTCTTTGGTTATTGTGTGAGGTGGGTTTTAAGGTATCCGTTTGATAAGCAAATATGCATTGTTTTCATGCAGTTGACTAATTGATCCATCTCTCCATCATTCTGTTAAGTAGATCACTGTATGAGCTAGATGTGGAATCCAGTATCCTCTATCGGTTTTTATTTCTTCTTTAAATTTTTAGTTAGTAGGACAATTATTGTTGGGATTACATATACGCTGAAGAAACCATCTGGTTGTTACCTTGTTGGGATTAGCTCTGACAGCATGACATAGAGTAATAGACTAACAGCTATAATTTTGTTCAAATTGTGCAATTTTACTGCATCTTTTTGTTTTATGCTTTTACAAACTATGTTCCACTAGGTTAAATGTTTGCTTCTCTGATCTTAAGGTAATCGGTAACAGAATCAATTGACAATTTTTAGTGATAAGACCTTCTGGAGCTTCCGTCTCGTTTTTAGGTCTGGGACACCCTGTTACTGTTAATTTGTTATCATAATTACGAGTATGATTTTGACGATGCCATGATGGTTTGTGTGCTGGTGGATGTTATATATGCACAAATAGTGTTTCCACTGTAGCTGCAGACATATCAATATGCATATAAAATATAATGAACTCGGTCACAAGCAGCTCAGCATACAAAAAGATATCCAGTTTTCAGTCTTTTAGATGTGTTTGGCTTAATAGAGGGAATGAGAGGGGAGGGATTTTAATGGAGTGAAAAGAGATGAAAGGAATGGGAGAGATTTTAATATTACCGTGTTTGGATTAATATGAGGGGAGAGGAGGACTGAAAAGAGATGAAAGGAAGGGAGAGATTTTAATATTACTTTGTTTGGATTAATATGAGGGAGGGGAGGGGAGGAATTCTAATGTTATCTTGTTTGGTTTAGGAAGGGAGGGGACAAAATTCTTGTATGGACAACTTTGTTCTTATATTATTTAAGTTGATTTTTACAAATTTTATAGAGTAATTAATAAAATATAATTATAAATAATATTTAATATATGAGATCAACTTTTTGTGGTTAGAAAAATCAAATAAATATAATGATAACACATAATTAATAGATACTATATATCCAATAATTTTAATTATATTTATATCCAAAATCTAGTCTAATGAAGTAAATATATTTAATTTGGGTATGTTTTTTCCAGCTTTCATTTTTCTCTATGTTGTTGATATGAGTATTCAAATAACTTTTTCAAAGACGACATAAATGACTTATTTGTATGTTTTTGTTTTGAATGTTTGAAAATTAAAATACATTTGATAGCAAATTTTTTTTTTCTTTTTCATATTTGATAGCATATAAGTGAGGGAAGAGAGGCATGATTGAATTCACAAATATATCAAATCATATACAATTCGGCAGTGAAGGGTAACATGGGATTATTAGAAAATAATATGGTTATATTAGTCAACACATGCCAAAATATTACTTTTTCCCTCCAAATTCTCCCAATTTTGGGGGGAAGGGGAGGGAAAATGTTAAAAAATTTCCCTCCCCTCCTAAAATTTTTATCTTGCCGAACAAGGAAAAATTATTAAAATCCCTCCTTCTCCCTCCCCTCCCCTCCAAATCCTTCATACCAAACATTATGGGAACATAATCTTAAGAGAGTTTATTGTTTAAAAACGTAACTTTAACTTGATATAGAAAACACAAACTAGAGGGACAAGATTTTCAATGTTGTTTTATTACCATTACATTTTCTATCTTTGTTAGTTTTGTGCATATCAGTTAATTCCTTTTGATTATGATTCATGTACTAAATCCCTATTTCTTGAATCACATGCTAATTTTTTGTTAGACTCATCACAACTTCTTCCCGGATTATGCTTATCTGAAAGAAGCTACTTCACATCGGGAATGGGCTCAGGTGATTGGTTTAAGACAATAATTAGCTTAAGAAAATCAAAAGAAGGCAATTCAAAGAAAGCAAAGGTACACTCCATTTTCTGTCATTTAGTTTCTCTCCAATTAACCTGGTGGGAATTAACTCACGTCAGTTTAGACTGTTAGTTTAGTCTTTTCAAAATAAATTTTGTCTTTTAAATGTATATACAAAGATTAATTAAATAATTCAGTTTATTGGTGCTAATGCTTCACGATATGGACATAAAATTTACTATTGAGGATTCATCTTGTCAGCAAGTTGGCTCTTCAGTTTCTGCCGTCCTTCTTTATTTGATGTCAACGATTTATCAAAATACTCTTCTTTGATGCTAAAAATTGAAGAGCTAAACTGGTCTGATAGTGTTTTATAATTAGTCTAGACCACTATACACCTTTAAATTATGTTAATTTTCAAACATGACATTATGGACTGTAAATTTTTGTCTGAGTTTGGCATGATAAATATGGTTGATAGTTTATGTTAACAAGGGCTTAACGTACCCGGATAATTATTAGCAGCAATGCCTTTTATTACAATGTACTTGGAGTTCACAGGGTTTCTAATGACTGCCGTAACATGAAAGTTTCTATCTCCATCTGAGACAGGGATCTCCAGCCTCCAAGAAACAAACCGCATTGAAGTTGAAGAATTATGCAGGAAAAAATTCTAGTAATTTAACGAATGGCGGTAAGGGTTCTAATCTTGTGTCACCCGGCGTATCAGTTGAAACTATTGCTGCAACAATGATCCAGACAGCATTCCGGGCCTATTTGGTATGTAATTTTGATATTTTAACAAAATGATTTTCTTAATCCTTCAATCCAGCCTGTTTCTTTTATTTTTATACATTATCCATGTGTACGGGTAGTGCATAGTGCAAGGACATAAGAATGAGCCTTCATTTATAGTTTATTCCTCCAGGCTCAAGCTGAAGGCTGGAGGCTGAAGAAATGATGTTCAAATTCTTCGTCTTGTTGCAAATTGTGACAACCAAAACAAATCGGTTCCCCCATATGTCTGCTGGAATAAGAACTCTGTGACTTAAAATATAGAGCCTGTTCTTCATATTCTTGTATTTGGAGCTCTTTTGTGAACTGTATCTTGACATCTTTGCGCCATTTATAACCAGTTGTTGGATGTGCAGTATGATCTTTAAGGATTAGCTTGGTTTGGGAAGACTTTGAATAACATTAATAATTCAACCTTTTAATTAAGACTCAATTTTTATCTCTGAGGGTTTGATATCTACTGATAAAAATGGAAAAACTTGCTGCTTTTGAGTTTATGTAAAATATCTAATACAACAACTTCAGTCAGTAGGTGTTATGTTGATTATAACCCTTAATATGCATACTTAAAGTTGAGAGATGCTGCATCACATATAGCACAAAGTTTGTAATTGTTGTTAATTTTCTAATGCTGATTTTTCATTTGGCAGGCTAGAAAATCTCTACGGCGTTTGAAAGGTTGTGCAAAACTTAAGGTCCAGATACAAGGTCATTCTGTTAAAGACCAAGCCGGCAGCGCTGTAAGTTATATTCATAAATGGAGCAAGATTCAGGCGGAGATTAGAGCTCGCCGAATCTGTATGGTCACTGAAGACAGGATCAGGCGGAAGAAGCTTGAATCTCAACTTAAGCTTGAGGCAAAGCTTCATGGTTTAGAGGTAGTCTTCTTCCTCCTGCCTTGTGGATTGATGGCTTGTGAAGATTATGGTTTCCATTTTAAAGGTCTATTTGTTTATCTCTACTATATGTTCTGTGAATATTTTAGTTATTATAACTATGGTCGGAATTATGGGGGGGTCCTTTTAGTAGCAGCTTGTTATCTTGTTCTGATTGATGGGTCTATTGTCCTGTATCTTCTATATGACCTTCAGTCATATCAAATATGTTGTTTCCATCCTGTGTTAATTTCGTTGTTTTGAAATAATTTCTTCATGCTGTTTAATTTGGACAATCCCTGATATGTGGCAGTAGTAGTGCCAAGTGCAATTAAGTAAACAGGAAGGGGGTAGTGGTCTATAAATTAGGTCCTGAAGGTTGTGTTAATACTATTGTTTACTCCCATTCTCCCCTATCAATGTTAACAAAGGTATCAGAGCCTGATTTATTTTGTCAAGACGTAGCTAAATATGCATAAATAAAACATGACTACTTTATCAAAATCTAATTCCAATAAATAGTATTCATGTTTCCATTTATGCGTGGGATTCTTCAAATAAAATTTAGTGATTTCGGGTAAGTGAAATATTTCACTGGGTGCTTTAGCTTGTTTGTACCAAATTTTGTTTCCCTTTCTCCGAAGTTTATAGTTGAAACAAATGACAGGTGGAGTGGAGTGGTGGTTCTGAAACCATGGAGGAAACCTTGGCAAGGATACATCATAGAGAAGAAGCAGCTGTTAAGCGGGAAAGAGCCATGGCCTATGCCTTTTCTCATCAGGTAGGTTAACCTTAGAACTGAATCTATTTGGCTTTATGTCACCAGATCCTACTGAAAACCACATGCATATCTTTGTAACTGTAGTGGAGGGCTAACTCTAACCAAGGTCTCGGTAACTATGAACTCAACAAAGCTAATTGGGGTTGGAGCTGGAAGGATCGCTGGATTGCTGCTCGCCCGTGGGAAAGCCGTGTCCTTGAGAAGCCAGTTAACCACAGGAAAGCTCAAACTAGGCAGCCAAAGAAGCTTCAGAAGGTTCAAAAGGACAAGAACCCGTCAACACCGAAAACACCTGTTCCAGTTAAACCTCCTGTGGCTAATGCAAAAGTGACTTCAAAAGTGACTCCAAAAGCTAGGCGATTATCTTATCCTGCCACAGAGAAAAATGTGCTCCATGAGGAAAGCAATAAATCCTAAGGAGAATCAAACCCGTTACTGTATGACTTGAGCTGAGTCAAATTGATTTTCAGTTGGCCACACTGCAGAAGGCCAAGGCAGGAAAGCAATCTTATTTGTTAACGGTTACTTCCAATTCGAGAATACTGGACTTTGGTGAATCTGAAGACAATTTGGCAGTGGAGAATGGGCCGCCAGATGGGCATGAGTGTGATTGATTGGTTGATGGTTCTTCTGTTTTCCTTCTATCTTCTTTTTCTAAACATGTATATTGAAAGAAAATTGGAAATGTAGATAGAACCTTATTTTCTTTGCCCTATTCGTTGTCTTGGTGTAAGAGAGTTTTTGTAAGCTGGGTGGTATTGCTTTTGCAGATTGTTACAGTTTCGTTTGCAGGTACAACTTTGCCAACAATATTTTGTAAATTCTGGTTTATTCAGCATCCTTTGCTTCTAGGCTTTTCTCTCTTCTGAAGCCAACAGGCTAAGAATTTAATGTCAGCTCATTTTCCTCCTTTTCTTTTCCAGTAGGATTGCAGTGGATGTAAAGCAAATAAATTTGATATTTCACAAACAGCCAAGCTGTCATCTAAACCAGTTGGCGCCTTCAAGGATGGAGCCAACATATAAACTGTACGAAGCCTAAATTTTAAATGCATAATTTGCAACTCACAAACTCAAACGTTGAATGTTGGATACGCCAAAGCTTCGATGTGACTCCCCAATATCACCTTTATGATCGTTGACCATATTTGCCAGGGAACAAGACTAGCTCATACAAGTCGACTTTTTTTTTGTGCAGGAAAAAAACATGATGAACAAGAGCGGAAATGGAAGCGTTAAAAAGAAAGTACTTATTACTGTTCCAGTATAAGAACTATTTTCAGCTTGAATTTAGTTTTAAATATAAAATTTTAATTTATTTATTTATTATATTTTTGAAATTAATTTACTTGGCTTATCATGTTACATATAACTCAATATTAAATGGGAATATTTTGAGGAGATCGTGACATTTTTTTACAATTAATTTATTTAATTTTCTTAATCTACTAAAATTAGTTAAATATATTAAGGATGGGAGAAAATAACATTTTGTTTAATATCCATTATATGTTTATTATAGTCAATAAATCTTATTTTTATTATCAATATTGTCATCATTATCAATTTAAAACAAATTTGTACTAATTTAGTTTCTTTCAGCATGTGCATTTTTTGACCCTTCTTCCTTCGAAATATTGCCCATGGACCCATACTTGGCAGTGAACTTATACTAACTCTTTAGGTTTTAGTACAATTTATATTACAAATTAAATTTTATATTTAAAATTCGAGATAATTTTATTGATGTCTACATCCATTAACATTTAAAATTTGGAAGAATTATTGTATGGTCCAAATAAGTAAAATAATTACTAAAAATCTTAATGACAAGTTGTTCTAGACTGGCCAAGATCCGCAGTTGTTATGAAATGTTTTGTGAGGATAATTGGCTAATGCTACCTTCCCTGCATATTGGTTAGCTGTTGCAGAAAATCACGAAGAGACAAAAGGCATGAAACTTGAGTGCTGCCATCCATCGAACTCTTCGACTTCAAATGGTTGTTATATGTTGTTGTTGCAAATAATAGCAGTTAAACCCCGATGCCAACCAGTCAAGGAATCTACCAATCCAAATCATAAAGTTACGAGTATATAATTGATTCAGATGGTACTTATCAACCATTCATGGTTTTCGATCCTGAGAAGGCTATCGACGACCGTGTTGTTACCCAGAGCATCTCTAACTAAATTCATGGAGCCTTCTTCCAGCGTCAATAGCAATAATAATGTGCAATCGCAGAGACTCCTCGCCTTAGCTCAGCAGCTTCGCCTTTACAAACCCCCATCATTTCAAGACGACATCGATGAGCAAACAATGGAAGAAAATGCGGGGAAGGTTGTTTCCCAAGTCGGGTTTCCAGAGTCGTCCACTCCAGTTGCTCAAAACCCGGAAAAATTTAGACCTAAACGAGCTGCCGTTTTGATCTGCCTCTTCGAAGGGGATGCTGGGGATCTAAGAGTGATTCTAACTAAGCGATCATCCAAGCTGTCTACTCACTCGGGTATGTCGAGTTAGGAATAGGCGCTGCTTATCCAATGAGGATATGTTTAAAGGGAAATTTTATTCCTGATACTGTTTGATTAAAGGGAAGGAATTGAGCATTCTTTTTCTGTGTTACAGGTGAAGTGGCCTTACCTGGTGGGAAAGCAGATGAAGGGGATAAGGATGATGAGGATACTGCAAAAAGAGAGGCGAAGGAGGAAATTGGGTTGGACCCTGAGCTTGTCAATGTCGTTACTTTTCTTGAACCATTCTTATCCAAGGTATGATTCTTTCCGATAATTTATCAGTTGAAATAATCGGCATCGCTTTGGTGATTTCTACGTTCCGGCAGGCTAATTGTAAAATCGAGGATTCTCCCGTAATCGATTGCGAGAGATTTTGGAGTAAATTCTATGATAATTGTTTCGTCAAATATTTTCATGTGAGAAGATATGGATTTCAGGCGGTCAGTGACAGCCCGGGTTTTTCTAAATTATATTGATTAGTTTGTCGTTAAATGTATGCAGAATTGTCAAGCATTTTATCGCTCTTGCTCCTGGATTAGTTTCTCCAGTTAGGGGCTTACGCACTAGATTAGGATTAGAGATATTTGGGCATGAGACAATTAATGAATTTGACCTGTGTAATGAGATATATACCCTTTGCTAATGATTCAAGGATTATGATTCGCTGTTCTACCTTATTTCTGTTGCCTAAGGACTAGTTTCACGTTTGTGGATAGTGCTTTTCGCGGCATCCACAGATGCAAGAAATAATCTTTTACACTGCATGATTCATTTTGGTACCTTTTTCCTGTGTGTAGAAAATTAAAGAAAATCGTTAAAATATTTTCTCTGGTATCACTCATTGTAAAAGTTGCATAGTATTGTGGATTACTGACATGGCCATATATTTTGCATGGGCATATAAGATTCAAGCATATGTGCACGCCTTGTCATAAAAATGGTGGCTTGACCAGACAATCTTCTACATGCGCCAAGCCTAGGGATACTAGTGCTTAGAAGAATTAGTTAGGATATACATTGCACTTTAGACTTACACTCTGTTCATTTGTGATCATAACAGAACTCCTGAATGTCAGAGAGTAGTAATTGGATGAAAAGATTGGAAATTATTTGGTGGGATAAGTAACAAGTGTGGCCTTTCTTATTCATGTTCGAAACCGTAAGCATCATGCTTTTTTCAATTATTTTTGCAAATTTTGGAGACACTCAACCATATGAGATATGCAAAAGCTGTTTCAACTTTCATCTTTGTGCATCTGAATCAAAGTATAATTCATTTCAAAAATTGTTTTACTTTCATTTGGTTCTTAGGAGTTGCATTGTTTGTTTAAACCAGAGACCTTCTGCAATCTATTCATACCCACGGCCGTTACCAGTACCTAGTGGCTTAAGCTGGAGATTCTCAATCTGTATAGTTTTCCGAGATTTTATTAATATTAAAGCTGTCATGGCATGTTGCTAGTTGATGGTTGGGTTATATACCATTTGCAGTAGCTGTATTAGATTTATTATGGTGCAGCCCTGTGAATGAATACACATAGCCATCTGGGATGCCATTGCGATTCCTACAAATTGTGAGATCTAATGACCTTCTTTACCCAACTGATTTAAACCATCACTATATCTGCACTAGATTAATGGGTTTAATTTAATATATGTGGTTTTCCTAATTTGTTTGCTCGGTAGGAAGTTGTTTCCAATACCCATCAATGATGCTCCTAATTTTAAAAATTCATTGGTTCTTCATTGTTTTTATTTCCCAATTCCATTTTGCAGCACCTACTGAGAGTGGTTCCTGTCATTGGCATACTTCATGACAAGAGAGCATTCAAACCTGTTCTGAATCCTGCTGAAGTGGAATCGGTATTTGATGCACCTTTGGAAATGTTTCTCAAGGTTGCGCTAATTTCTATTTCTGTCTTCTACATTCTTCCTGTTCATCTACAGGTTGTCTGATGCCATTGCTTGAATCAGGATGAAAATCGTTGTCAGGAAGAGAGGGAGTGGATGGGAGAGAAGTATCTAATACATTTCTTTGACTACGAAACCAATCATAAAAAGTATCTCATATGGGGTTTAACTGCTGGGATCTTGATTAGGGCTGCATCAGTGGTGTATCAACGGCCCCCAGCTTTTGTGGAGCAAAATCCTAGGTTCAAGATTCCCCAGAATGTAAGCAAAGATTCTGTAATGCATTGAGATTGAGATAACTTCACTACTTTAATTCTTCAAAATAAATACATTTTATTGTTTAAAGTACACCCTGCACTCTAGAGAATCTTATTTCCATTTGTATGTATTTAAAGGAAGGAAAGGAGTGGGGCTCCATTGTTGCATACTATATGTAAGCTCAAAAGTTGGCAGGGTATTTTAAGCTCAACTTCGGATTCTGAGTGCCTATTTTCTGGTTTTGGTTTTGTTAGCTTGAGGGCAGAAACATGCATGTTGCTTCTGCAGTCAACTGTTAGATGCATCAACATGTTATTTTAGAAGAAGATGCCTAAAAAAATTATGCACAACTCAGCTAAGCACTCAGTTTTCTCTTCACTTTTCCAATGCGCGAAAAAATATAAATGAAGTTGTTGAAAAGGCTATGCGGAAGAATACGTGGAGGCTTTGCAGGACTGCTGAAATATATGGTGGAGCATTGGTTGTGGATCCCATAGGAATTGACAGAAAAAGTTTATTGATAAAATTAACTAATTTTTAATATATTACCTTGGCTTGTATGAATCAATTCAAAATGCTAACTTAGGGGAGCCAAACCATGGTTTGGGGTGTCAATCACCCAAACACCCCCTCTAAAAACTAAAACCATGGTTTTGACTCCAAAACCATGGTTTTGGAAAAAGCAAAATTTTTTTGCTTTTGGAGAAAAAAGAGAGAGTGTGAGAGTCTATATGATATGTATCTTGTTATTTTTTTTATAAACATATTTTTTGATAAACATATTTAATCTTATATTTTATAAATATATATACATATTAATTATTTATTAATTATATTATCTTATGTATTATTAATTATGTTGGTAAAAAATATATTATTAACAATTTTATTTCTTCAAATTAAAATATATCATAAAATCTATTTTTTCTGTAATTATCATATTAACTTATGTCTTTTTTTTAGTAATTTGTATATATAAAAAGTGCTTTTGATAACAACTATCCAAACACTCTCACTTCTCAGAATCACTTTTTTACAAAATCTATTCTTCACAGATCTATTCACCCCAGAATTTTTTCCATAATCACTTTTCCAAACCACGGTTTGGTTTCATCAAACACACCCCCTTAATGCAGGAATGAAGACGTTTTTTCTTGACCAAAACAGGAATGAAGACGTCACCAAGTTTATCATCACTATATTTAATCAAATCTTATATAGTGATGAGAACCCAATCTTATACTTTTATGTTAGGTTGTTGATAACCTGACATAAAAGTTTAAGATTGGGCTAGAATTTTGAATTGACAGAAAAAAGTTTATTAATAACATTAACTAATTTTAATATATTACCTTGGTTTATATGAATCAATTCAAAATACTAACTCAATGCAGGAATGAAGACGCTACCAAGTTGTTAAATTAAAAAAGGAAAATGGTTGGCAAAAAAATTCTAAAAGGAAATGAATAATATTGATCTTTGAAGTACTCCTCCGGTCCTTAATATAGGGTTCAATTATTGAGTTGGTTTTGATCCTAAATATAAGACCCATTTCTTATATTTATCAATTTTCTTAAATTACATTACCCTTATGGATACTCCCTCAACCATAATCAAGTAGAAGAGGGAGAGGGGGTATTAAGAAAAATGATTATGGTGTTTTAAGAAAAACGTATCATATTTCTTATAATTAACTAACTTGTATAACTTTCTTAATTTAATCAAATTAGTTAAATAGGTCTTATATTAAGAACCGGAAGAGTATTAATTAGGTTCATGGTAAAAAGAAGAAAAAGGACCCCTCGGATGCTAAATATAAATCACTTAAAAAGGAAAGTTTTGGTTGTAGTTACTTGTAGTATATTTAATACTTATTTTTTTAATTTGTCTTTATTTAATTTTTATTGGAAATAGATAAAGAAAATAGTGTATATTGTTATCAAACTTGCCAATTAACTTTTCGAGTTTAACATTTTTATGTTTTGTTTGTAAAATTATGTTGGCTCGTTTTAAAATTTTTGCTAACTATAAATAAAATTAAACTTATGAGTTTATTCACCGAGTTTACCATTTTTATATTTTAGCTTACAAAATCCTGTTAACTTGCTCTTAGACTCGTGCTAAATTCTTGAATTTAATTATATTTAGTGATTTTATTGTGAATTTTATACAAAATTTTTTGTTGAATATGATAATTATGAATGTTAATTGATTTTATTTCAATTATTTAAATTTAGAATATATTTAAATGAAGTTGTTGTCATTTTTATATATTAATTATTTGATTATATACTTTTAAAGAATTAAGATGCATCCAACATTCTAAAATATTTTTTCGGTACTAAAGTAATTTTTTAAATGCATCCAGTATTATCCAGCACCTTAAAGTATTTTTTATATGCGCCTATATCAAAAAATATTTTTTAATGCCTCCTATACTAAGGCAAAAAAAAAAAAAAACATCAGAGATGCACCTTAATCCTATTTTTAATACCAATTATTAATAAAAGTAAACTTGTACAAATTTATAATTCGAGTTTACATCTTTTTTATAATTTTTCTTAAACTCATAAGTTTAACAACCTATAATTTTAGTAAAATTAAAAATTGACAAATTTTATCAATTTAATCCTTGGTAGGTGAGAACGTGTTACACAAGGCTTAGAGTATTAATTACTGGGTGGCAGCAATTTGGTTGAAGTACCGAACAAAGTCGCTTGGTCGATGCAACTGGAGAGCCAATTAAAGTTCCTATCCTCCTCGTCCTGTCTACGAGATAGAGAGGATGTTTTTTGTTTTTACCTTATTTATAAATTATTTTATTAAATTTTTAATATAAACATACTGTTTTATTTATTTATTTATTATAGTGTAAATAATTTTTTACAAAGATATATACCACACTAAATATGAATAAACTTGAAAAAATTTTTATATTTTAATAAAGAGTTGATGTAGTTTAAGATTTTTTTTTAAGTAGTATGAAATATAGTGAAAATATTTTATAAATAGGAGTATTAATTAATTGGCCTTTGGATAATTTGGGTCGACACTTTCCAATAGAATGTTGTTTTCACAGGCAATTCATTATTAATAATCCAAGGTGATTGTCGTTTCTCCTGTAAAGGGTCAGACTTTAGAATCTGAAGCTTAATTAAATAAATCATAAATATTTTTAGTCGGAGAAAGGGTTGATGCAATTTTAATTTAGATTGCTGGTATTAAAAAAAAATTTATAATTAGATCTTCCAGCAAGAACTGCTTCCATTTTCCTGTGTCGCAGTTTCTAGGCGCGCTGGAAAAACCGGGGTCTGAGGGTGAGTGAAATGGGTTCGAATAAGGCAGACCCGAGAATATCTCAGAGAATACAGGGTTTACTTCAGCATTTACGAATCCCCCAGCGTGCCGGTTTCAACAATTACTCGTCAAGCCAATTCAGACCCATCAAGAGAGCTTCCGTCTTGATCTGCCTTTTCGAAGAGGACGACGGGAATTTGCGCGTATTTTCTCACTTTGAGAGCTTCGTCTCTGTGTCAACCCACTCAGGTATTAGCTTCCCGTTGTCTCTTTCGATTCTGAAAAGCCGGAAATTCTGGTTTTTTTTCGGTCGTTGGAGTGACCCAAGTGAAGGTGTTTGTGTGTGTGGTTGCAATTGCAGGCGAAGTTGCGCTGCCCGGTGGGAGAGAAGAAGGCGATGCTGAAGATGTGGAAACGGCCTTGAGGGAGGCGAAGGAGGAGATTGGTTTGGACCCTTCTCTTGTTACTGTTGTTGCTTCTCTTGAGCCATTTGGCTCCAAGGTATAAACATGATTTTTTTTTTTTTTCTTCATCGTATTTCGTTTTATGTAACTTTCACTCTTTTAGTAGCATCCGCCAGTGTTTAGTTGTATTGCTATTGATTATTCACTGGCATTTCTACAAGTTTTATTTGGAAAAATATCGTGAAAGAAACTGGGAAATTACTAAATCTCAAATCAAATCAAGATTGATTCTTAATTTTAACTGCAAATAAGTTGCTGACTTAGGATTTAGTAATTTATGGGTGTCTTTTTTATTTTTAAACACACATTGACGGTGATTCTAATGAAAAATGAATCTCATGGGAATATGTGCATTCTGTGGTTATTGTTACACATGCATGCATAAAAAGATTTCTGGTCAGAATGTTGGATTCATTGTCAATGAGGCGAAAATATGAAAAATAAGACATAATTTGTCAAGAAAGTCCAACTAGTGAAGTTTGGATCGTTTGCCACAGTTGTGAGCTTTCTGTGAGTTCTACCTGCACTCTGTCCTGATAACTCTTGGCTCTAATTAGCAACTTGTTCATTTTTATATCATTCAAATGGCTTGCACATCAGAAAGCAAAAATCAGCAGGCCAGGAGCCCAGAACCTTGGCTCAAATCTCGATCCTTACCTAACATGTACTGTGTCAGAATCCATAATTGACGGAAGGGAGGATAGGTGTGCCAAGCTTTCGGTTCTGTTGGTTTCCATGTTTTATATTTGAGCATCTTTTCCCCTTCCTTTTCTCTTTCATTTTTAGTGGGATTCCTTTCCTTCTCGTCATCCTAACTCCCAGATACACAGGTTTATGACTCTCAATGTATTCTAATTTCTATTTCCATTCATTCTGTAATTCCAAATCTGCCTGCTAATCTTCTGCAGCACCCTAATTTAAAGCCATACATAAGTATCTTTCCTGACTATCTGGTATTTTGAAGTGCAGTATGGTGTGACAATAACTCCTGTTATTGGCATACTGTCAAACAAGGATGCTTTTACTCCAATGCTAAATCCAAATGAAGTTGAAGCACTATTTGACGTCCCATTGGAGATGTTCCTCAAGGTTTTACTCCAATTCCGATTTTCACTTACAATTTTGCGTACATTGACAAGATGATTGAACTCTGATAAAACATATGACATAATGGTGTGAGTATCCAGGATGAAAATAGGAGAGCTGTGGAAAAAGAACGGATGGGAAAGAAGCATCTAGTGCATTTCTTTGATTATGAAGTTGGTAATAAGAAATATGTGATCTGGGCTGTAACTGCGGCCATGTTAATCAGAGCGGCGTCACTTGTATACCAGCGGCCACCAGCATTTCTGGAGTTGAGGCCTAGCATATGGGGAGGACTTACTGAAAATGACATTTTAATATTGCAGCGTCGTTCTAAACAGTGATCTATTCAATTTTCTTCTCCTCTTAAAATAGGACGATCATTGCAAGCCACGAATCTATTAATGAGTAATAAAGGGCTTGTTTGTTTATGCTTTGTTTTCTTGTTTCCAAAAGAATTTTATAAAATTGTTTTTAAAAATAAGTTTTGAGAATAAAAAAATAAAAAAAATGGTTGAATAGTTATTTTAAAAAATCACATTTGAAACAAAATATAAAAAATCACATTTCACCTGTAGTAGCATGTGATGGATGGTATGTAAAAAGAGAAGGTTTCTCTCCATTTTTTTTTTCTAAACAAAAAATAAAAATATAAAAAAAAAAAAATGTAAAAATTGTTTTGATTCTTTCGTTTTTACAAACATGTTACTGGTTTTTTTTTTTTTTTCATAAAATAACCAACTGAAAACTAGTTAAAGTGTTTTTTTGTTTTTAAAAATAAAAAATTATTTTCAAACCAAGAAACTAAACAAGCCCAAAAGCTTTTAGTTTCAAACCTATAGGTGCTGTTTGGTACGAGGGATCCAGATTGATATTGAGATTGAGAAATAGTATTTAGGATGAGAGATTGTTTATTAAATAAAATTAAACAAAATCATATATGTGGAATTGACGAATATCATAAAGGAAAATGATATTTTTCAATCCTACTTCTATTGGTTTTTCTATTGGTTTGTCTAATTCTATGAAACAAGCAATTACTAGTGTTAAAAGCTTTTTTAATAATTTTTTTCAATTGTAATCATAATCCTTATCTTTCATTTTTAATATTTTGTACAAAACGAGACTATAGAGTCTAGAGCTCCCTACTACATGAAGAACACGGTCATTGTGTATGTTTATAGCGTCTCATATGCATAATCAATTCATGGGTAATAGAAACTTATGGAAACAATTCACATTTCATTTTTTTCCCTTATATTGATTCGATAACGTAATGGCTAGTTAGCGGCTCTTCCGATATAAATGAAAAATATAAAATTTAAGGTGGAATCACGAGCCTCTCAGTTATTCCAATCATCAAAAGTCGCGCCCCTGAAATATACGCTCGAATATCTGAAAATGTTGGCAATTTTTTTGACATTGATTACTTTACTTGACATGTCAAAAATTTATGTAATGTGCATGTTCAACTATAAACATGAATACATGACAAGAGACAAAAAAAAGGACCGAATTTCTTTGATGATTCTAATAATTTGCATCATATCAGGTACATTATAATCTTTTTATAATATTCTTCAAATTCACGATGGAATAATCGTAGTTTCACTTGACTCGAGTGTACATGATTTTAAGGGTATTTGGCAACCTTCAAACTATAGTTTCAGAAGTATTTTTCCGCAAAACAAGACAAATTCCTCCACATATTTACTTTGTAAACCGTAAAAAAACATTTCTAAAACTATGATTTGATTTCTATCTAAACACCCCATTCGTCATGGTTTCAAACACCCCTTTCGTCATGGTTTGATTTCTATCCAAACACTCCATTCGTCTTGCTATGTGTGCCTAAAGTGCGGTGCGGTGAAAATCCCAACGTAATAAAGGTTGGGTGGCTAAAGAAATAGTAATATGCTCACCCATCACTGGGGCTATGGACCATGTTATATCACAGCACCATCAGCTAAATATCTCATAAAACGTCTCAATTACAAGTGAACCTGAGTTTACAATGATAAAAAAAATTTGAAGAACTAAAATTATATTAATCTTATATTTTAATACAGAATTAATGTAATTTAAGATTTTTTTATTTATGTGAAATATGTTTAAAATGTTTTATAATTAGAAGTATTAGTTAATCTGGCCTTTGGATAATTTGGATCGACGCTTTCCAATAGAACGTTGTTTTCACAGGCAATTCATTATTAATAATCCAAGGTGATGGTCGTTTCTCCTGTGAAGGGTCGGACTTTAGAATCTGAAGCTTAACTAAATAAATCATAAATTTAGATCTTCTGCCAACGAACTGGCTTCATTTTCCTGTGTCCGCAGTTCTAGGCACGCTGTAAAAGCCGAGGTCTGAGGTTGAGTGAAATGGGTTCGAATGAGGCAGACCCGAGATTCTCTCAGAGAATACAGGCTTTACTTCAGCATTTACGAAGCCCCCAACCCACCGGTATCAACAATTCCTCGTCAAGCCAATTCAGACCCATCAAGAGAGCTTCCGTCTTGATCTGCCTTTTCGAGGGGGATGACGGGAATTTGCGCGTACTTCTCACTTTGAGAGCTTCGTCGCTGTCAACCCACTCAGGTATTGGCTTCCCGTTGTCTCTTGCGATTCTGAAAACCCGGAAATTCTGGGGGGTTTTCGGTCCTTTGAGGACCCAAGTGAAGGTGTTTGTGTGTGTGGTTGCAATTGCAGGCGAAGTTGCGCTGCCCGGTGGGAAGAGAGAAGAAGGCGATCCTAACGACGTGGAGACGGCCTTGAGGGAGGCGAAGGAGGAGATTGGTTTGGACCCTTCTCTTGTTACTGTTGTTACTTCTCTTGAGCCATTTGGCACCAAGGTACAAACATGATTTTTTTTCTTAATCGTATTTCGTTCTATGTGACTTTCACTCTTTTAGTAGCATCCGCCAGTGTCTAGTGGCATTGCTATTGATTATTCACTGGCATTTCTACCATTTTATGGAAAAATTTCAAAAATTGAAAATTACTAAATCTCAAATCAAGATTGATTCTGATTCGTACTCTTCAGCAGATTTTAACTGTGTTACAATACACGTTTATAAGAATTGCAGACTTAGGATTTAGTAATTTATGGGTGTCCTTTTTATTTTCAAAGACATATTGACGATGATTCCAATAAAAAGTGAATCTCATGGGAATATGTGCATTCTGTTGTTACTGTTACGCGTGCATGCGTAAAAAACATTTCTGGTCAGAATGTTGGATTCATTGTTAATGAGGCGAAAATATGAAAAATAAGACATAATTTGTCAAGAAAGTCCAACTAGTGAAGTTTGGATCGTTTGCCACGGTTGTAAGCTTTCTGTGAGTTCTACCTGCACTCTGTCGTAATAACTCTTGGCTCTAATTAGCAACTTGTTCATTTTTATATCATTCAAATGGCTTGTACATCAGAAAGCAAAATCAACAAAAGGAAAACAGAGACAGCAGGCCAGAATCTTGGCTCAAATCTCAATCCTTACATAACATGTACTGTGCCAGAATCCTTAATTGACAGAAGGGAGGATAGGTGCGCCAAGCTTTCGGTTCTGTTGGTTTCAATGTTTTATATTTGAACATCTTTTCCCCCTCCTTTTCTCTTGCTTTTTTAGTGGGATTCCTTTCCTTCTCTTGTCCTCCTAACTCCCAGACATGCAGGTTTATGACTCTTCTAATTTGTAATTCCATTCATTCTGTAATTCTAATTCTGCCTGCTAATCTTCTGCGACAGACTAATTTAAAGCCATACACAAGTATCTTTCCTGACTATCTGGTATTTTGAAGTGCAGTATGGTGTGACAATAACTCCTGTTATTGGCATACTGTCAAACAAGGATGCTTTTACTCCAATGCTAAATCCAAATGAAGTTGAAGCCCTATTTGATGTTCCATTGGAGATGTTCCTCAAGGTTTTACTCCAATTCCGATTTTCACTTACAATTTTGCGTACATGACAAGATGATTGAACTCTGATAAACCATATGACATAATGGTGTGAGTATGCAGGATGAAAATAGGAGAGCTGTGGAAAAAGAATGGATGGGAAAGAAGCATTTAGTACATTTCTTTGATTATGAAGTTGATAATAAGAAATATGTGATCTGGGCTGTAACTGCGGCTATGTTAATCAGAGCGGCGTCACTTGTATACCAGCGGCCACCAGCATTTCTGGAGTTGAGGCCGAGCATATGGGGAGGACTTACTGAAAATGACATTTTAATACTGCAAAGTAGTTCTAAACAGTGATCTACTCAATTTTTTTCTCCTCTTAATATTGTATGATCATTGCAAGCCACGAATCTATTAATGACAAATAAATGGCTTTTTTTTTTTTTTTCCAAAAGAATTTTATAAAATTGTTTTTTTAAACTAAGTTTTGAGACTTAAAAAAAATAAAAAATATGTTTGGATAGTTATTTTAAAAAAATCACATTTGAAACAAAAAAATATAAAAAATCACATTTGGTAGTAGCCATTATTGGCGGTGACATTGATGGGCGGTATGTAAGAAGAGGAGAAGGCTTCTACGTTGTTCCTAAACAAAATATAAAAAATACAAAAACAAAAATGAAAAATCTAAATTTTTTTTATTTTTAGTTTTTAAAAACAAACTGTTTTTTTAAACAACTAACCAAAAATTAATTACCAAACAAGTTTTTTTATTTTAAAAATAAAAAATTATTTTCAAACTGAGAAACCAAACAACCCCAAAAGCTTTGAGTTTCATACCTCTAGAGTCCGGAGCTGCCCACCCTCACCGTCATTGTGTGTTTATAACGTCTCATATGCATAATCAATTCATGGCTAACAGAAACTTATGGAAATAATTCACATTTCATTTTTTCTTTTCTTTATATTGATTCCATAACGTAATATCGGTGGCTCTTCCGATATAAATGAAAAATAGAAAATCTAAGTTGGAATCACGAGCCTCTCAGTCATTGTAATCATCAAAAGTCGCGCCCCTGAAATATACGGTCGAACATCTTAAAATGTGGAATAGTCAGAGCCACAATATGGTGCGAGCAATTTTTCTTGACATTGATTGCTTTACATGACATGTCAAAAATTTAATGCAATGCCAATGTTTAACTATAAACATGAATACATGAGGAAAGACAAAAAAGGGGCCGAATTTCTTTGATGATTCTAATAATTTGCATCATATCAGGTACATTATAATCTTTTTATAATATTCTTCAAATTCACGATGGAATAATCGTAGTTTCACTTGACTCGAGTGTGCATGATTTCATCTTGCTATGTGCCTAAAGTGCGGTGCGGTGAAAATCCCAACGTAATAAAGGTGGGGTGGCTAAAGAAATAGTAATATGCTCATAAATCACTAGGGCTAATGGACCATGTTATATCACAGCACCATCAGCTAAATATCTCGTAAAACTTCTCAATTACAAGTGAACCTGAGTCTATAGTCTCCAAAGGATCCTTCCTCAGGCGGTGTCTCAAGCAGTTAGGAATGACTGTGGCAATATCCTCTGCGCTCACTTTGTCCCTTCCCTTAAGAGCAGCAAGAGCTTTTGCAGCTCTGTTTGTCACTATGTCCCCTCTCAGTCCATCCACATTCAGCTCTGCACAGACCTTGGAGATCTTCACCTTGAGATCTTGATCGATCTGAACTGAAGAAAGATTACTTCTCGCTGAAGCAATTTGTCCCTGAAGCTTTTCCTGCTCTGCCTTGTAGGAATCTCGAAACTCCTTTGGGTTCCTATCAAACCTTGCTCTCTCCTCCACAATTTTCACTCGTAGCTCGGCATCCCTCACAGTCCCTACTTGAGCATGCATCCCAAATCTATCGAGAAGTTGTGGCCTAAGCTCCCCTTCTTCTGGGTTGCCTGAGCCAATTAAGATGAACCGAGCCGGATGCGAGATTGAAATACCCTCCCTCTCCACTGTGTTCCAGCCAGAGGCAGCAGAATCCAATAAAACATCTACCAAATGATCATCCAACAGATTGACTTCATCAACATAGAGGATTCCCCTATTGGCTTTGGCCAAGAGACCAGGCTCAAATGCTTTGACACCCTCTGTGAGGGCTTTTTCAATGTCAATTGTCCCACAGACTCTATCTTCTGTAGCTCCCAATGGCAAATCAACCATGTTGATTTTAGTCAACACAACCTCAAGTTTGTCTCCTTTTGTTATACGCTCTCTCACCTCGATGCCCATGGACTCTGGATCTTCTGGATCTGAGTTATATGGGTCCCCAAAAACAACCCTAATTTGAGGAAGCAAGTCCACTAATGACCTAACAGTTGTTGATTTCCCTGTCCCTCTATCCCCCATGATCATCACCCCTCCAATTTTGGGATCAATCACGTTAAGTAGAAGGCACAACTTCATCTCATCTTGTCCTACTATAGCGGCAAATGGGTACACTGGCCTCTGGCTATCTTCAGAATCAGTCTTCAGACCCTAGAAAGGATAAGTTTGCAGACTTGATATGTTGTACATGAACATAAAGAAGGGGGGAATGCAGTGGTCTGAATCTTATCCTTATTATCATGCCACACATGACATTAAACAAGATATTCTCGTCTATATGCTTCATTTCTAAGATACTTGCTATGGCACAGTTAACAGCTAACAGATACTCTAAGGCAGAAAAGTTTCACCACAGACTTAAAAATTAAAGTTTCCAATGTTTTCTTCTGCCAAAATTCGTTATGAATAACCTAAAAGAATTAAGTACTTCCAGCAAACATATGGCCTGCAGGCAGTGGAGTCCACCTTATTAGAATCCAAGGACGTTATTTTGAACTGACATTTCCTTACACCAACGAAAAATGCTCTACGAAATGCAGACAAATACAACACTGCGGTAAGTAAACTAAATTCAAAGATGAGAGTCTGAAATCATCTAAATACCTGTTCTGCAGAGTTTACTTCAGTCGCGACGCTGGCCACTGAGAAGCGAGACCTTCCCTTTAAGCCACGAATTCCAATTCCTCCATAAAACTTGCGCCCATAGCTTTGAGCTAACAACAAACACTCAGCATAGTCAACAATTAAGCAATGCCTGCAAGCACTCACTTTCATCGCCAATAACAACCTCCAAAAAGCAAGAATGTCAATAAAGAAAGAAAATTTGTAAAGGGTTGTACCTCTGGTTAAAGAGAGCGAATGAAGGGAAGTTCTGGACGAAGGGGAGGAGAGGTATCGAGAAGGGAAGGTCGCAATTGAAGAAGTGCCCAGAGTGGACGCCATAATCAGGAAGATGGAGGAAGTAATGCCTGTTGTAGAAGAAGCAGAAGCGGCTGTGTTTGATGAGAAGCAGCAACAGCTGTCAGCCACGGCATGGACTCCAACTCGCTATTGGTTCAAGAGGATGCGGATAAGAAGATAGATTTCGCTCCCATCTCCCTCTCCCCCTCTCCCCCTCCTCGGTCTCCTTTACGTATATTGATTAATTTTAGTTGGGGAAAAAATTGATTAATTTCAATTAATTTGTATTTCTGGTAAAAAGATTGTCTTAATTTTCTGCTTTTATACCAAGTGTAATTTTTTTTAAATAATACAAATTCTTAGAAAATAAATTCATTTGTTAAAAATGGATAAATCATTACATAAATAGAGAGTAAAATAATAGTGTTAGATCTTTCTTTTGTTTAATATATTAATTTTTATTTAAATAATTTATTTCAAAATATTGGCACATATTTTAGTGTAATTCCAACTTTTAATATTGAATATAAGTGATTTATTCTTAATTTCTTGAAATATAAATTAATATTTTTAATAATTCTTAAATATTTTTAAACATAATTTGATCTGGACAACTTGAAACATTTTTAACTGTTTATGAATAACAAGTAACTAATTTCAAGAATAAATTCTCTATTATTCAAATTAAAAGTTCAAATAAAATTATAAGAAGAAAGCAGATAATTTTTATAATATATTACAATGAAATAAAGCTCTTGTCATACCTTAAATGAATATGAGGAAGGTGTATTGATAATTTTGTATTTAAAGAAATTGATTTTTTTATTTTAAGGTAAAGATGAAAACCATGTGTTAATCATAATGTTCTTCACACCATATTTAGTATTGACCGCGTTTTGGCAATATGTTGATAGGAGATGTTTGAATTAAGTTTTTAAAAGTGACTCGATAGTGTTTAAGATAACTATATATGAAAAAAAATTGTTTCCACTTATATAACAGTATTTTTTAAAATGCTTTAATAAATACAATTTAAGAAATCACTTCAGCTAACAAATTGAGCTTAACCCAAAAGTAAACTTGTCCCATCGGTCCTGGGGGGGAAAAAAAAACTTGCACTAGTCTTTTGTTATGCCCTTGAATTTTCTGCCCGTTCAAATCCGGAAGATAATCAGCATCAATATCAAGTATCAACTTCAATCACTTCAAGTAAAATACAAAATTACAGAAAGCTACAAAATTCACATGTCACAAGTATGCTCTTAATTATTTTTCAAATGTACTAAAAATTATAAATTTATATTTCGCACTTTTTTGTCAACCTAAAACCTGGTTGCCAGTACATCTGGTGGTACAATGCAATATCATAATCAGATTATTAACAGCATTTGCTCATTAGGTGAAGTTTGGATTGCCTCAATCTCTCAAGTCTCAAGAACGATAAATTTAGGTAAATCCTATGAAATGTAAAGAAAAGGAAAATGAAAATAAAAACACTAACCCTGTTTCATTTTCTCTCAGTTTCCTGAAATTTACGATTATATTGATAACTGGCCAACTTGGTGGCTATTTGAAAACAATTCCATGTCCTCTCTGAAAGCAGGTAAGGCAGCTTCAGCCAAAGTCACCAAAACCTTGAACCCATCCTTCTTCCATGAGCTTGCTGTTGAATATGGCAAGAAGAAACATGGCTCCACACTTCCAAGCAGATTCCTCGCAAGAGGCAGCACGGTCACTGGACCTCCCCACCCAAAATCTACACTCGAATGTCCCAAATGCCTCCAATCTGTGAACCCACTCACTCCTTTTCCCGCTGTGACCCCATCCCCATAATGCTTCTCTTGAAAATCAATGAAGGACCTCACATACTCGTCACTCACATTGCTCTTGCTCTTCTTTATCTGCTCTGCTGTTTCCCATATGGGTTTCTCTATCACATCCTTTGCTCTCATCTTTACGTACATTGGAACACAACCGTTGCCCCAGTAGCCTTCTGGAAGCGGCGGCTTCATCAGTTTCCTTATGTTGATTGAGTATGCGAACTTTATCTTTTCATCATCTTCAATCCCTGAGGCCTTAACCCTGTTTCAGAAACAAGATTAGTCGTCAGGCCAATTTTCATGTGATTTGCCTAAGAGAGATTTGTAAATCCAATCTGTGCAGACAAAATCAATAGACGTGTGTGCATAACAGAATGTAAATTATACCCACACTATCATCTTATGTAATGCTCTGTAAAAAACTTAATTTGGTCCTCTCAGAATTTTTTTGACTTCGATACCAAACTTTTCTTACTTGCACAGATCATAAGACCAATCATTGAGGGTATAGTGTTCGATATGATTAATATTCGCAGAAGAATGAATATGTCACTTGCCAATCACAAGTAACTACAAATGATCAAATTCCTTTTGAGTTTTATATTTTAAAAAAAGGTGATCAAGTGGAAAATTCAGCTTGTCACTTTCACAGACTTCTTTAATTACGTTTAGACGCCCACCACATCAAATAGAGCAATTGCGTACGGTTCCACAGCAAAAAAGCAAAAGCAAGTGTATTAGGAAGAAAACTACTCACTTGGATCTCCAAATGTATGCACCCAAAGCCTCAAAAGTGGTGAAGTTCAATCCAGATTGCTCAAACAGCGAGCGCTTGAACTTCTCCAAGCACTCGTCTCTCACATGAAAGCTGGCTCTCACAACTGGACCAATGTTCTGTTCGTACGGCAGGAACCCCTTTTCCAAATGCAGAAACTCTCCGATCACCGGGGAATCAATTCGAGTCGGATTCCGAGGACCCAACAGCTTCTCACGATTCCAAATCGGCTCGACCGTTATGCGGGTCGCTCCACGGGCCAACTCGGCTGCCGCACTGAAAAACTGAGTCCCGCCGAGTCCATCGCACAGGGAGTGGTGTATCACAGCCCCAAGAGTGAACGCACCACACTTGAATACCGTGATTTGCAGAACACAAGGGTGCTCCATTGCTTCGTCCATGTCCGGATCGGGGACTAATTGTTCGAGGAAGGGAGACTCGGGATCATCGAGATAATTCACGGACTCAAGCGTGCAATCCACATTAGCCCGAATCAAAGGGAGGCCTTGGCCGGCGGAGCACGAAATCTCGAGGCGTTGGTCTTCGTGTTGGCGTCGGCGGAGTTTGCCGGCGAGTGGGTAGTAGTGGACGAGAGCTTGGGAGAGGGCGGAAGAGATGACAGGTAAAGGGTCGGCGGAGGAGGAGGGGTGGGTATTGACGTAAGCACGAAGGTATCGGAAAGTGAGGTGGAGGTTGCGATCGGTGTCTAGGTGTGAGAGAGAAAGGGCATGGTCGTCAGTGAAGGGAGGACGAGAAGGGAAGATGAGAGTGTTTCCTGAGACTTGAACCATTTGCGCCATTGATGAATGTAGAATTGGGGATGTGGTAGAAGCTATGGCTTGAATGGTGTATGGTTTGGTCGTGCGTATAGTTGCGCCTTGCGTGATCTAGTCGCAGTATTCAACTACTAACATTTATGAAGTCCATCGGCTGTTCAACAGTTCAGTCTCACCAAAGCATTAAAGGGAAGACGTTGATTAAGGGTGTATTTACTATTTAGTTCAACTGAGGAAAAAGGAGTAAAGGATTTTAACCGAAGGAAAGGGAGTCAAGGGAGAGGAGGAATTTTAACCGGACGAGAGAGGGAGAGGGAAGACGTGGAGCTTTAAAAAACCAAACACACTTATCATTCCCTCTTTCCTCCCCTTCCGTCCCCTCTCATCAAAAAACCCCCCCAACCAAACAATACCTAAAAGAAAGAGAGAGGGAGAGTGGAAGACGTGGAGCTTGCTTAGCCTCTCCCTCAACCAACGGCTTTGCTGAGTGAATTTGGCGGGAACCGACAACTTGTATATAAATATTTTGCCCCAGTTCGTTTACGCTTTATCAATATATATATATATATAACTTTTGATTTGTAACATTTATTTCACGTTTAATCTAAAAATCTTCAAAAATTAGAAATGAGATACAGTTTAAATATTTTAATATATAAAAACATGGAAAATTTTCTGGAAAACCCCCCTTAAAAAGGTTATTGAAATCTGCAAAATTTTTACTGTAAAATAACTAAATTGTCGAAACTTTCCTACACACATTAGAAGCTTTTTTTTTTTTTTTTGGGGTACACATTGAAGCTTCTTTAGGAGCATAGTCAAATAAAAGCATGTACTTTTCCACAGTCAGTTAATTTCACGAATATAGCTTTTGGCTCTTCAAACATTAGACGAGATCGTTTCATGCATGTAGTCCAAATTTATAGGCCCTCTCGTCTCGTAAGAAGCAGGATCCACTTTTCTTCGTCGACGAACAAGCATTCCGCCGAGCTCGCCGTCAGACGCCGTCCGCCTTTCTCATCCCTGCATGGTTGTTCGCTGGCAAGTGTTGAACAAGGTTCGAACACTAGCGCCTTGTCTACTCCCAAATTCCGGTGAGATTGATTTGTTCAATCTGGCTTTGAATCTATTCCCCGCTCTGCGTGGTTGTCAACCCTGTGTCGGACGCCGTCGCACCGTTTCTTCGTGTAATCGTTTGACGCGTTTGAATAAGGATTGAGCTTACTTAAAAAGAAAAAAAATTACATTACTCTTTTTTGCGTCAATGGTGTGTAATCGGCTGCTAAACTTCTGCCTCTTCATTTTGACTACTAGTGACTCATACGCTTTGGATTGTTCTGCTGTGTAATGTTGGATTTGTTGTGTATAGGCATTAGAACATTCTGGAAGCGTGTGATGAATGATCTGGTAAATGACTTGGCTCGAGTTGTGTCTAACGATGTAGAAGCTTGAGTTTAAATTGTCATTCTTCAGTGGCTTGTAGGAGTTGCCTGAATCAAATTGGCTTACCAAGGAATCTTTGTCAAAATATCCAGAACAAAAATTAAAAGGATGTTATGTCAACTATCCATATTTCAAGATGCCCCCGCTGAGTGTAATTTAGGTCCGCCTATGGTTAACTTGATTCTTTAATTTTGCAAATTTACTGTAGTTCAACTGGCTTTCGATTAAACTCGTGCTCCTTGGCATATGATCTGCGCTTCCTTTGTAATTTATCTCTATTGATTCTACTGTCTTCTACTTAAATTTAATGAAGCTTTGATCAACTTGTTTGTCTGTTCATGAGCACTTTATATCCTTTCCAGGACGGGGTTTAGGCTACGACTTTGTACATCTGCAAATTTATACATGGATTTAGTCTTCTCTTCTCTCTTGTACTGTCTATGTGGTTATCTTGTTCATAGATGGCCTTCGGACACTGCTTCAATGCCTCAAAATATATAGATTCCGTCGTAGAAATTCATGTTCTAATTTTGTGTCAACTTGAAAGTGGTTAATTCTGTTTGAACTGAGTCAAAAAAAATTGTTTTTATGGCTGACTTCAGCAAGTGCTTGATAACATTATTTTACTTCCCGTTTTAATTTTCTTTCTTTCTTTCTTGTTGTTACCTGAGTCGCAGGGGGGCTTTTTTTTTTTTGTCACCTCAACATTTACACGTTAATGTCTTACACTTTTCCCAAATACCTATCATACTTGATGCTCTTTTTATTATATTATTTTCCTTTTCTTGCTTCATTTAAATATTTCTCTCTTTCCCACTAGGTGGCTTTGACATATGAATTTTTGAGTTGACTTGTTTGAATTGGAACACGACAGTTTCAGTGTAGTTGAGGAGTGATCAGAAGTTTTACCGGTCTCAAAAAATGGCAGATCAACAACAGGAAACCTCATCTGTAGATTCAAAGGAAGGAACTTCACTGCAAGGTTATTCTCCCACTTCACCTTTGCATCCAGGATGCCATTAGTATCACAAGCATACTTCTCCTAGTATTTTCATGGAAACAAGCATGACAAGCACCAACGAATGTACAGTTTGACATTGCGTGATGCATTTCCTTGTTGCAGTCATGTTTTAGCAATAATTTTGGGTGATGGCTTATCACATATATGAGGAAGCATGACAACAAAAAGAAAGAAGTATGACAAAAAAAAGAAACCTATAGGTGCCGCCATATAGCCTTGCTGTTAATAGAGTCCTTGCTACATTGAATCTCATTATTGAACTGTTCATGCAAACTGAAAAGCATGATCTTAGAAAAAATTGAGTTAGGACAGAAAAATATGTGCTGAAATACAGAGTTCCATTTTTTCCCCTCATAAGGAATGCTATTGCTACTTACTCCACGTGACTGATCTTAATATCTTGTTTTTATTGTTCTATGTATCACTGCAAAATTCTAAGGTCTAAAATTTTCTTATAAATGTGAGATTGCATTTCCTTGCTAACCCTGCGGACACCAATTATTGTTTACTTCTTTCAGCTACGCCAATGATATAATAAAATTATTACTGTCTTTATTTTGAACAGAAGAGGGCATTGGAAAGGAATTTCTTAGCTCCTGGAAATCAATATCTATGACCGATGATGATGTGATGGATTTCAGTTTTGACAGTGTTAGTAAAGGAAAGAAAAAGACGTTCAATTTCGGGAAACTGTAAGTCATGGTAGAGTTAATTTTTTTCTTAAATAAAATGAGGTTAGTAACTATACTACTGACAGTGCACAATGATACCCCTGACTTGGATTATTGATTTTACATTTTACTATTTATATTTTGATTGTATTCTGGGAGGAGTTGAATAGATGAATTAAGTAAAATGTGAATTGTTGTGCTTTTCCTGAAGGTATGTAGTTGTTTTCAGCTAAAAAGTTGTTATAAACATATCACCTTTTTTTCTTGTTTATAGGGACATGGATTTCAGTCTGGATGGTGAGTTTGATAAGATATCATCATTTAAGATGGATATGTCAGACCTTGATTTTTCATGCTCGCCCAAAAAACCTACAAAGTCTAAGGAGAATAAAGGTGACATATCAGACCTTGATTTTACATGCTCCCCAAAAAAACCTTCGAAGTCTACAGAGAATAAAGGGGGAGACATATCAGACCTTGATTTTTCCTGCTCTCCCAAAAAACCTGCAAAATCTAAAGAGAATAAAGGAGGAGAATGTTCTGGCGGAAAAGAAGGAAGAGGGCATAGTTTTGACTTCAACTTTGATTTCAACGAGTAAGTAGAAGAAATTATTCAACGATGCAATTTTGATATTTGAAGCTCATGATTACTGCTTCTTTTGATGGCTCAGGATGGATAGCTTCAATGTTGATACGAGCTTGTTGAAAGGAGATAATACCTCTACCATGTATCTGGCTAAAAAAGGAACTACTTCACGCAAAATTGATGTTAAAGTCGCTAAAGAACCTGGAACCAAAAATAACGAACATGTCCATGGATCTAATGTTCCCATGATTTTGAAGCCTCTATCATCAGAGACAGTGGAAACCTTAAAAGTTGAGATTATGGTAGGTGATCAAAAGGACCCAGATTTCATTCAGGATGATTCTGTTCTAAAGGCTTCATCTTCTGGGAAGCTGGATGTGTTAGTTGAAGCTAGATCTTCAACTCCAAGTGCAGAAGAAAAGGAACAAGAAGGAGAAATACCTATGAAGAGACATTCCTCAGAATCAATATCTGAGGATATCGATAACCCACCTTCTCAATCTGTTGACCAGAATATTTCAAATCAAGACAGCATTGCAGATCAGCATACTGAAGTTTATTCTCTGGGAACAAGAATGATTACAAATTCAGGTGGTAAGCGAAGTGTCAACAATAATAAGGCAGCATATGCGGACCCTGATGGAGTAAAGTCACCATTAGAGATTTCATCCTCACTTCAAATGAAAAATTTAGAAAGTAGTAATGAAAATAATTCGTTTGGCAGCAACACCCAAGCAGAAGCTACAAACGACCCTCGTCCAGTTGACAGTGACTCAAGTTTTGAAAATAATGTTGCAGCAGATATGTCAAAGAAGATTTTGCCTGATAATGACATCAAGGAAAACAAAAATCCAACTTCAGAAGTTCATTTAGCTACAGCAAGCAGGTCTAATTATTTATGGTCTTTTGAATCAGAGATCAATAACAGTTACTAATTTTATTATAGAATAAGTTGAGTTGCTGATGGTTGAGTTCACTCGATCCCTATCCTATACCATGAGAATTGGACCTAAAAGTATTTAGTGAAGGTGAAAAGTGCTTGTTTCAATTGAATTTACATTGTTTTAACAGTTTTTTCTCATTGTATCCAGTAAGCCTGTAGTTGATGAAGGGATACTGATGAAAGATAAAGAAATCAAAGGCATGCAGTCAAAGTTGTTTGGCAAAAGAGGGGAGAATGTTCCTTTAAAGTATAATTCATTGACAAAAGGAATCTCCTTTGGCTGTAAAAGAACTGGTGACATGCATCTTGGATCCATAATCAAAGCAAGGTATGCCATGCTTGTCTTGACATATATAATTATTTGCCTTACAATGGTATTGTGTCTCACACAGCTTTCAACAGGGAGAGCTTCAAATCAGATGACTCAGAATGTGGAACCAGATTGGTTAGTGACTCAACTCCACGTTCCACCAAATCAGTGAGAGATGAATTAGCATCAGTTGATGGCAATGATGATGCTAATATTCCTACTAATGCTCAGTAAGATATCTATTCTTGTATCTCGATAATCTCCTAGGAGTTCCTATATTTCAAACCAATTTAATTGATTGCATATTCGAGGAATTTTTGGAACTTTTAGTTTGCTATTTGTTATGATTGTGATGTGATTGTCATTTGTGATCATGACTAGAAAGGGTATTGTTTCTGATGGTACTCAAAGTGGAGGAAAGTTAGCTGAAACCAAACAGCCAACTCTCCAAGAAGTAAAGAAAAGCAAAACCGCGTTGCTAGATACTGATATGTCCTCTAAAGATGTTAATATTCTGAGGTAAGGCAGCAACGTTTGATCATTACTTCTCAACTTGGCAGCATAATATACACACCAGCATCCATATTAACAGGACTCTGTATGATAAGCTTTGCTGACTTGCAGATGCAGTAACATGAACTAAATTGGTAAATGAATTCTGCTGGTACTATTTATTCTTAAGAAACAGAGTTTGAGGAAAACATTCGGTCAGGTTACACGCTAGCTTTCCTGGATTGAGGCAAAAACCTTAGGCAAAGATTTGATCGCTAAATATGTGAATATATGGGGGAGGAATTTGTAGAATATGCATGTTTGTGTATTGGCATGCACATAATTACTTCGATTGATTGGATCAACGAAAATCAGATCGTATTATGAAACATTGAAAGGATGTGTGTTAATGATCACTTTCTGGTTTTCTCATGTTAAATAAATTTTACCTTAATGTTCCGACGGATGTTTGTTCACAACGGACTTATGTCAGACTATTTATTCTAGACTCTTCACTATATTGCTAATTATTCAATATTGGACTCTGAAATTGTTTTAACTTTTCTTTCCTTTCTGCATGTTAATACTTGTTTCAGTATAATTTAATTTTGAAATGATTATGCCATGTAATTACATCTCTGACTACTTTCAGATGTTTAAGTTTACAACAAAACTTTCTGGGAATTATCACAGTGATGGCCCATAATTTGCATTTTTGTGGGTATTTTTTTGCAGTTCTCATGTTAATCCTTCGTGCTTAACTGAGACAACAGCTAGACATGCCAACAAGATGCCTGTGAATCTTCAAGCTCAAAATTCAGAGAAGGAACCCCTTAAAAATTTAAGGGCAACCATAGAAGAAAATAAACTTTCTTCAATTAAAGCTGTCAAGATCGGCTTTAAGGCTGCAAAGTATGATGCTAATGTGTAATACTCCCTTCTTCATTAGTCAGTTAACACGTAATTGGCTTTGAGTGACAGCTCATATCTTATCTTAGGCTTGTCGAAACTGACAAGGAATTAGCAACTCCTGCACGTCAAAAAAAAACTAACTCCCCAGCAAACTCTGAACATAAGGAAATGCGGGGCATTACAGCAGCAAAGATTGACCATCATATTGACAGTTCTCCGAATCAAAAGCCTGCGACCCCTTTCCTAAAGAGGAAAAACACTAATGAGGTTTGGAATTTAATGCCTGCCCTTTCCTTTTCTGTTTTCTTTTTCTTTTTCTTTTTTTGGAAGGAAGGAATCAGCCCGCTCAAGTGGTTTAACACCACTCGATGACGATGATTTCCCTTGGCACCGTATAGCCATATCTATAATACTCCAGTCTAGGCGAGGGGCATACTTTTAAAAACAATGTAGTTTGAATCATGATTCTCTCCCCACTATGTTCTTCCCGCATCTTGTCGTAGTTGGAATGTATCTCTTCTTTCTTTCTCTTTTGAAAAAGAATTTTAATGTTTGAAGAACTTCACAATTATAGAAGTTGAAGCTTCAACAACTTTTCATTGAAAAGAAATCACACACATGCTTAGCCAAATTTCAGCTCAGCTGTGAGCAAAATTTTGCAGCTTTCAGAAGCAGATTTAGCGCCCTTAAGGTCCCTGAAGCGACTCTGTCACTCTCCTAGTGAAATCAGGTTTTGTTGAACTACTTATTATTTTATCATTTTTTGTTTTCCTTTTGATTCTTTGCTGAACCAGTAATATATTTCCAAATAACGGCAGAAATTCCAAGGGGTGCCCAGAAAAGGTTGTTGGAAAGGTATATTAAGGTTTGGGAATATCGAATCCGATGCATTGTATTATTTGATGACGACTGATCACATACAATGATATGAGGATTTCAATCCCTAAAGTTGTCGACATCATTTTTTTTCCAAATAAATCACCCACTTTTACTATCATGAAATTCAGGTGGAGAGTAGGCCCAACAGCTCACTCTGCAATTCTCCCACATCCAAACTTCAACGTCCACTGGAGATTAACCTGATGGAAGTGAAATTACCCACTTCTGCGTTCTTGGAGGATAACAGCACTGTTGAAAAGGCTGAGTCTTATACAAAGGAACTTGAAGATGTGAGTCAGGAGGGGGGGTGGGCTTGTTATGTTTTTCTTTACAAATTCAGGTTTACTTTACTTATGTACTTGCAATTATTTAAAAATTTGATAGCATCTCTTTTATATTACAATTTTCCCAAGCTAACGGCAGTGAAAGGATTTATTTTCATCCAGGCATGCAGTATCTTAGAAGTGGAAAAGAGAAAAAGAAAAGGGAGAGTAAATTATTACCATCGCTTAAAATTGTTAAGTGTGATTTCTTGCAGATTTGCAACATGCTGAAAAAGAAGCACGAGGAAGCGAAAGAATTAATAGTTCGGGCAGTTGTGAATAACAATAACCTGTTGATGCTGAATCATCCCATTTATGAAGAAAAAATATCCTCATCTGCTTTCCGCCCTTCCCTCATTTTTAATTTGTTGTAGAAAATAAACTTTGGTTAATTCCTTAACAATTATGAACATTCGGAAGGTTCAGAAACTTGCCCTCCACTTGATATCCAAGGAGATTCAAACTTGATGGGCGGCAAACTGCTGCATGCAGAGGTCAGTGTACATTTAGGTGGACAATAGCTTCTCGACTTATACCGTATATTTTTCCTGCTTTATCAGATATCAATACCGTCAGGTTATTGGTCATCATTTGAATTTAGAGACAAGGTTATTGTTTCCCCTTGTGATATCTAGACTGGATCTCACAAATCTGTTGACACAACTTCATAGATCGTTAAAAATCTGTCATTTAATAGTTGTGTTTTGGCCTCTTCTAGTTTTTATTGTGAAATCTGCGGTGGTGCATATGCGTCAAGTAATTTTTGAAGATATATTGGTTATTGATCAGGTTACGGTTCATTTGATTGTATTCAACGCAGTAACATGACCTCCTTTTTATGGAATTTATGTGATTTTGACCCTAAAATTGATTGCGGGTTAATTTCCTGCATTAAAATGATTGCAAAAATTTTATATTTTATATATATATATATATAAAAAACTTGCCAGTGCAAACGTACTATCCAGACCTTACAGCTGCTTACGCATTAAAAAAGGCCTTAATAGCAACGATGGCGGGAAAACAAGTAAACCGAAAACATTTTCCTTCTTTTTGGCCTTTCATTGTAGGATATAAAAGTCGAACATGTTAATCCAATCTTCCATAATTATTAGAAGATATCAATCTATAAGTTCAAGATAGATCCAAGGTTCTCATAATTCCTCGATTATTAGCATATGCTGATCATTGCAATGGATTTGCTGTAGTCAAGCAAGGGGCAAAACTTTGACAAGCAAAACTTCCAGACTCCGTCTCTAAAGCTTAGGAAGGCTTCAGGTCTAAAATGTAACATATAATTCTGCATCGGATATTCCTGTTCTTCATCCATTAATGCACTTTGCCTTGAGTCTCTCATTTTTTGCAAGTAGGGAAGAGTTCCAGCATGTTATATAGCTTTTGGTTTTTTCTACTGTATGTGTAGGGTACAGAGTTATGCAATTCCTGTTGAATTGAAGTTGTGAATTCTTTGAATACTTAATAAGACTTGGAAGAAAGACAGGAGAAAGCTGTGAGGAGGCGAGGAGTTCAATCAAGGGAATATTTTTAACTACTCCTTTAAACCATGTTTTACATAAAATTAGTTTGACTTTTCCTCTTTAATCCTCACATGGCTCACCTCTCACACACACCATCGTCACACTTCATTTCACTTCACTTGACTCAACACTTTCGACATCCATGACACACTCACACTTGCATTACGCACCTATATAATATAGTAATGGTGTATTGGCGGTGAAAGTATTCACTATCCACCGCCCTTTGGGATTTTTTCTTTTTTTTTTTTTTTAATTTCATACGAAAGATGAGAACCGCCTTTGAGCAGGAATCCACAAATGACAAAAGGAATACTTTATACCGGGTTATTATGTAGGGGGCTTTATGTTGCAACAACATACTACTACTCTAACACAACAATTTAATGCTCTCACGAGGGCTATTATTAGGTAGGAGGCTTGGGGAAGTAGAAAGATGCGAGTGGTTATTTGAATACTCGTATGAAGAGGTTATCACTCAAAACCTCCTTCAACTATAAGATGGAAATCATATTTTCAACCTTTACTTCTTATTTGCTATTCTGCTTTAGTAAATTTAGCGGCTACCATGATTTTATATAAACGAGATTTTATAATTAAGATCAAAAGAAGTAAGTCCTAAGCTATACGCTGCTTACAATATGACTCCACTCCTAATAGCTCCATTATTGCTCCCTGGCTTTGGAAAACTTGATGAGAATTAAAAGGACCACGCAAGAAAGACGTCTGGCCTTCAATAATATAAGAATTCCCACCCCCCGGGGACGGGGCAATCCTCAAATCTTTCGCCTCTTACACATACCATATCCTAACACTTTCTTCCTACACAACACGTAATTTCTACATTCATCGTGTATAAGCACAACCATGCTTGCGTTAGCTCCTAAATATATAGTGCTGGTTTGGAGGTAAAGCATCCACCTCATCTAGATGACCTCTTTTTTTATTTCATTAGAACAATATAATAATGAGACAATCTTATCTATAGTTTTCTACTTACGTTATTGACATTGAAAATTCTAGAAAAGAAATAGAACATCCTTGGCAATATACATAAAAGAACTAGCTGGAGACGAGTGGGTGCCTCGGTGGTATTATATAATGCATCTAACAAAATGCTTACTAAACAGAAATATCCTCAAGGAGAAAGTAGATAAGAACCATATCAACTAGATGGGATTTTGTCATCGAAATAAAAAAAGGCGAAGTGCTAACCTACGAGGACGAGAAAAAAAAGTTTCCTTCTCCTGATTTATTCTGTCTTGTCATTTCTAACTAAAAGTTGGACATATACATACACGTGTGCGCGCGCGCGCGCGCAGTACGCATCGTGCTGGCAAATCAAAGCTAGTGGGTTTTTAATAGTAATTTATAAGATACAAAACTTAAAATAACACAAATCTCACTTAATCAAATGTTAATCTTCTTCAGAAAGAAGAGGCCGACCCTGCCGCCCCATGATTTTTTTTTCCCTCCCCCCAAACGATGAGGCTCTTAAAGGAAGGCATCATGTACATATAATGTGCGCCGTGGGTCATATAATTAGGATACAATATTAGACATAAGATAGTGCATGAAGAGTTATCTCCAAGTGTGTTAGTGGGAAGCCTGGGAGGGATTAAAAAAAGGGAAAATTTCACTGTAGGACCGTAGAAGACAATTAATCTCAAAAAGCCCCCAAAACTTTCTGAAACCTCACTGCAGGACCAAGGGGCCAATCTGATATTAATTCCACAAATGAAATGACGCTACTCCCCTAGTAGAAACTTATTTCCTTGAGGAAACAAGTGCGGGAAAGCGTATTTGCAAGGAGAACTAGCCAATTTGCAGAATAAATACATATATTCACACGTGGAATCAATCCGTTCACATGTGCACTGGTTCACCTGATGCATGCGTCCGTGAGGGAACAAGTGCGGGAGAGCGCATTTGCAAGGGGAACTAGCCAATTTGTAGAAGAAATACATATATTCACATGTGGAATCAGTCCGTTCACATGTGGACTGGTTCAGCTGAAGCATGGGTCCGTGAAGGAACAAGTGCGGGAGAGCGCATTTGCAAGGGGAACTAGCCAATTTACAGAATAAATACATATATTCACACGTGGAATCAGTCCGTTCACATGTGGACTGGTTCACCTGAATCATATGTCCGTGAGGGAACAAGTGCGTGAGATCGCATTTGCAAGGGGAACTAGCCAATTTGCAGAAGAAATACATATATTCCACATGGAATCAGTCCGTTCACATGTGGACTGGTTCACCTGATGCTAAGGGTAGTGGCGTCATTTCGCTTGTGGAATTAATATCAGATTGGTCCCTTGATCCTACAGTGAGGTTTCAAAAAGTTTTGGGGGCTCTTTGAGATTAATTGTCTTGTGCGGTTCTACAGTGAAATTTTCCCTTAAAAAAATGTTGTTTTGAAGGCTATAATGGTCTCTGTATAAACCACATATCGCATCAGCCAATTAAAGATATATATATATAGAGAGAGAGAGAGAGAGAGAGAGAGAGATCAGAATCTGGGGATAGTGTGGGTAGCGATCGAGAGAAATAATGATGGCGAGAAGAGTGGGTTTGATGGTGTGCATGACTTGGCTGGTTCTGGGCAGGCTGTTCATGTCAGAAGCCGAGGTTCAGATAATGAAGAACGTTAATGAGTCGTTGTCGTCGTCAACCCATTTCCTGAGCGGCTCCCTCAGTTTGAGCACCGAGAAGCATCAACTTCACGGCGCCTCTCACCACGCAACCATACGCGCCGTTAAGGTCTCCTATACCATTCAGAGAGGAATCAAATCGACCCAGTCCTGGAGGTCCTGATCCTCGACATCGTTCGTCATTAATTAGTTCATTTGATTATTAATTCATCCTCGTCTTACAAAAAATAAAGTTGTCTTCTTGTTCCTTTTTGTTTTGGTATGTAAGACAGTGTTTACATAGTGGAGTTTTTTCCGCCCGTCAACAAACAGATGAAGCTTGTCTGAACCTATAAATAATGTATTTGAATTGGGTTCAGACCTCTGCTATAAAACATGTCTGTTTTACTGATCTAGAAAACTGAAAATGGAAGCACATTCTATACTGGGGAAAAAGATAAACATGGAGTGTTTATCATAATAATAAGGGATAGCAAGAAAACCTTTATTTCAATAAAGACCATCCGTACTGATTAATTTTATACGGAGATTTGATTTAATTTTTGTATGTTTTAAATAATTTTTTTATGTTAATATGTACAAAATTTAAAATAAAAATAATTTTATAATTCACACTTTTAAAAAAAAAATGTAGGTTGAATGATCACTGAATTAGGATCGGAAAAAAAAAACACACACACACGCACGCGCACGCACGTGCACACAAATCATAGCTTGATTTTGCTTCCTTACCGCAAGTGGTGACGAACTTCTTCCTCTCAATCGCCCAAACAAACGTGCAAACTAATTAGCCATCAATCAAGGACGATGCTTAATTATCAAATTAAATCATCATTTACTCAACATTTTCAAGTTCGTCAATCAATGCATCACACTTGTCTAGTATAATAATATTATTTAATTTTTTGTTAGTATTAATTATTATGTGTGTATATTAATTTGGTTTAAGTTACAATCTGTATTTTCTCTTTGAAGAGATTTTGAATGTCTCGTGAGTTGCAGTGAAAGCTTCTTCTCAATTTGAACTAGAACAATATTCATTTTGAAACAGCTAATTAATCATGTGCTGTAATGAAATGAAATAACAAAAAACAAAAAAAAAGATAATTTTAATTTTTTTTAATTTAATGGACAGAGCCATTATGGGATATTTACATGATAATATAATCAAATAATAAATTATAAATTAAACCTAATTTCCTATATAGATAAGTGGACTCAAGTAGAAAGTAGAAACTAAGACATGCAAGCTGCAGAACATTGCGCAAGCATTGATAATGTTCTAAAATAGAATAGTGCTAATGCAATTTAATTATGTAGTAGTGCAAGATTTCATGCTATATATGTGTGTGTGTATATAAATCGAAAATAACGAGACAAGCTAAACTGCTAAACAACATGTAAGCAGCTGCCGTTAGAGAACTGTACTGACATGCTTGTTTTGTTCACACGGAGCGTGTACTCTCATGACGATCCCACTATATATATACACATGCATATACTCCTATATCCTACCTCCGGTTCTAATTACAAGAGCCAGTTGACTAATTTGAGGAGATTAAGGAAGTAAGTTGAGTTAGTTATTTGTTCTAAATAGTATTGTCTTTCCTAAAATATCCTTGCTAATCAAGTGTATTGACTAAAACTATCATTGTTAGAAAGGTTACTTGGAAGAAAAAAAAAGTATAAATATAGAGACAAAGTGGATTGAGGTCTTATATTTAGGACTAAAATAAAAGTCAAACAGAGTCTTATATTAAGAACTGGAGGTAGTATATGCTTTTCAATAACTTTTTTGACGCCGACATCTCTATATACTAAAAATACCAGAACTAAATATAGTTTAGAAACACTTATCCAAGCTCAAGTTAGCCATCCGTTGTTTCTTTTCATTAGTTGGGGTTCATTTTAGTTGGACATTTGCTTTTTAATTATAGCTTACTATAACGCGAAAGAAAATGTCAAAACACAAAGCAACTCAGAGGAAAAGTCATCACTTTACCGTCTATATATAATTATGGATAGACCACCAACAACGATAGTAAATGCAGGCACTACAAGACCAAACATCATATGCACACACATTTTAGTTGCATAATTATAACTAGTTGACCTTCAAATCGATGGAGCAGGATGGTAATCTCTTTAATTCAAAGGAGGATCGAAGACCATGCACAGAACCTTAAAATATAATGGTCGTCTGGGACAAAATAAACGATTTGTTAACGTTGTACGTAACTGTGTTCTGATGCTTAGTTTCTGCACGAATGAGAATATACATCTGTGCCCTTTCCTTGCTAACGAGTGTGGCTAAGAAACACAAACTAGGGTGACATTCATTTGCCAAAGATGAAGACCAGTTACACCAGAGAACACTCCAGCTTCTTCCATGAGAAACAAACAAAGAAGGAAAAGGGAAAAATAACTGAGAAGGCATTATATTGCCATTATTTTGAAGCACATTTATCAATCAGCGATGTGCCTTCACTTGTTTGGTGAGCGATTGTAAGTTGATTTCTCTGAAAG